ATCAAAAGGAAGACAGAGAAGACGTCTTGTACAAGAGTTTCAGTAAGACAATACCAGTCGGGAGAATGGAACGTCCAAAGAAGAATAAGAGGAGGAACATGCAGTTCGAATATTGATAAGTAAGCAATGAAATCCGTTTGAATTATTTTCATGGTGTGATCTACTATAGTGGAACGGAATACAGTCTGAGATTAGCGAAGCGGCATACTGTTTTTTTAAACGATTGATCCAAAACAACAATTTCTATCGATAAAAAAAGGTCGTATACTACATGCATTGCTCGTTTCTGGATCAATTATTATTCTGATTGAGCGAGAATGATAAATGTTCGAAAATAATGAATACGTCGTGCAGGCGACTTGGAACTCTTTTTGGCCGTCTGACGGTAATGATTTCGGCGTCTCAACGTCTCACCGGCTGACATGTGATTTCGTTTTTCCATTTGTCGTGATTGACAATTTCGTTTTTTTTTGTCTTCTCAAAAACAAAAATCAATTACGCCCTTAAAAAGACGCCACACGTGCCGTATTTTTTTTTGGTGTATAAAAGGAAGGGTTAAATTGCTGTAAACATATTTTAGTTTACACCGAAAAATGAACACACACAAATAATGTTAAGCATTTTGAATTGTTGAAAAAATTGTTCCAAGCAACACAGGTTGATTTCACGTATTTTCGAAAAGCTAAGAAAATATTTTTCGGAAAGTTATACCGAGAAAGTGAGAAGCTGTTTTTTTTTTTAAAATCATTACCGATTAGGGCTGTGATAGTCTGAAGTATCCGCAATACTATCCTAATGAATATAAAAAATAATGTTAGATGTTAACCAAAAAAACTTGCCCGTGCCGAATTCCTTAAAGATGGTACACGACGAGAAGCTTAGCAATATAATCAGGAAGGATCATTTTCAAGAGAAGTTATTGGAAAATTTAGATTACTTTATGCCTATAATAGTTGAAAACTAAAAACATTGTGGTACAAACTAGCTGAGTCATTGTTGGCCAATCACCCTGTATGCTACGATAATACGAGTGTATTATAGTATTATGAATTATAATATAAACCTAGTTATGTACCTAGTTAAAATATGTACCTCATAACCACCTAATATGTATCTGTTATAAAATCATACCTCCGGTTACCGTTTTAGATAATCATAAAATCCCCAATAGATACACTAACATAGTGATTTAAGGTTTTCGGAATTTTATAGTAAACTCCTAACACGTCTGAAGTCACGATAACCTCTTTTCCTATGGACTGATTTTTTACTCACTGAAATAGAAAAACAACACATGTTACCACACAACCAAACAAATTTAACAAATAAAGCGTACAAATGTAAAAGCCTAAATTGAATTCAACGTCTTGAATCTCGCGCCTTGTTTTACTATAAGTAATATATTCGGTATATATTATTATTTTAAATGACGCTTTTCAAAATAACTCTTGTACTAATTATTATGACAAATTGTTTTTGGGTCATCACCATTAATGGCGAAGATATCGTTGAGGAGTATCGACAAGTGAAATTAAGTATGGTTATGTCGTGCTATGTGCTGCACAACTTAAGGTTACCCGACAGAGGGTACATCGCTAGCCGTAGCTTTTACTTCCAAAGCCGTATTCAATGTCAGTAACGGATCTAAAAATCCGTGTAGGTTTAAACTTCTTGAAAGATTAATGCCTTAACTATTTTGTTTAGTTATTAAATTACAACGACATCTAGTTAAATTGTGTAACATTCACATTTGTAAAAACCTACGTTGCTTAAGCTTCAAAATATGACGTAGAACGGAATACTTCTGGAAATGGTTTACTTATTTTTTATTTTATTAAATTAAAAACAAAACCCACCAAAAAGAATCAACCTTAAAAAAATCGTATAACAGCTTTTATAAAAAAAAGAGATTATTTAAATTAAATTTACCAGAATATCACTTCCTCAATACAGTTCTTTTAAATAGGAATTAATCAAAAAAATAAAATAAATAACTAAAATACTAACACTTATAGTGACGTAATGATTTAATACCAAAATTAACAACAAATTATGTTTACTAAAAAAATTATTCAAAACCCAATTTCAATTTATGGATCTAATGTTCCAATACTTTTACTAATGAACCGAAGATCAATCAGTGGCACTGCCAGTTTCTAATTCTTTTAAACGTTCATAAAGATTAAACTGTTTTAAACTAATAAAACAGTTGAGCAACCCGAAATTTACGGTTTTCGTGACTACCTTGACATAGTCAATAAATACTTTAGTGATCAGTATGGTTTCTTTCACTGAATCGGTATGTTCGTCCGAATACTTTAAACTGTACACTTCGGCCGCTTTTTTGACTTCAACCGCCCACTGTCTGACGTACGGTCTGTCTATTGTCATCGGATTGGAAAACTGTGCAAAATTGTCATTGCCTGATGACATGTGTTTGAGAATACCGAGTATGTTATTGATGCGCTCGTTAATCATTCTCTCCGTTCTGAATTTCCAAAAACGCTGCTTCAACAATCGTATTATCATACCCACGTGTTTATCATTACGCTGACCAACATAAGTAACGAACTCTACCATAGAAGCCAACATTTCTCGGTTGTGCGCGTCACACAATTCGGTCAGGTATGTGAATCGCAGTCCTAATGTAACCGACGTCAACATTTGTCCCGTACAGATCAGATAAACAACGACGAGTCTTATGGCGATCGCCTTTAGCACGACCAGGAACTCGCTTTGTAGTGTTATGAAAGAGTCGATGTACTTGTGTAACGGTACGTCGACAAAGGATGTGTCCCGATAACGTCTTGCCAAGTTTTCCACTATAAAATGGCCGTCCAGCTGAACTCCGAACGTGGTTACTAATTTGCTTATGATATTTGTCTCGTTCAACAGATGGTACATCCGCAACCGGTTGAGTTCGAAACGACCGAGTCCTTCGACAGACCAATGGTTCTTCTTTAGCTGTTTCAAAAATCGATTTTTGTTCAGCTCCACCGTTAATGGGGTGCCCGTTGTTTTTCCTTCTATGATTTCTTTCATCCTATCCACATAGCTAACTGTCTCGGGTTCGCCAGTTTCCCGGTGGTATACTCTGCATCCATACGCCTCGGTGAACTCCTCCAGAACTACTTTGACGGCATTGTGAGCGGACAACATCAACCCTCCGCTTTGATTTCCGTATCCGTACCTACACGACTTGATGAACCCGGATGTCTTCATAGCGTACATGTGAAATATCCACATGACTTTCGTGATGCAGAACCATTTAGATTCGCTACTTTCGACGTACACAAAGTTGATGGCAAACACCGATAGGTCTACGAAATTTACATCGATTACCTGTTGTTCTGTGAGTTCACTCAACACCATTGGGTCCATCAGGTAAGTCCCGGTCAGATAGATGTGTACCAGTGCACTGAATACGAAGCTGCAGTGTAATTCTTTATGTGTTTCTATTATAAACAAATTGAGCTCTTCTGGAGTCTTAGACATTAGCGCTTCGAGGGTTAACGTACGTCTTGCAACATATCCCCGGTCAGGTATTATGTTTTGCAGAATACGACATGCAGTAGCCATTGCAATCTGAGTTTGCCGATTGTTCACATTGTCGTTGTCGTTATCATCGACGGCAGCAACACTCAGACAGACCGTTATCAATAGAAAAAAAGTCATCTTGGTAGGTGTCATTTCGAGTATTGTATAGTATTGTATATTATAGGTATTGTAGCGTACACACAAATGTTACAGGCAAAAAAATACAGCATTAAATAATTCTAAATAACGTTTTTTTTTTTTATATACAACTCGCTTTTTTTTTTTTGTAGTGTTTTGTTCAAATTGTAATTACAACAGTTGTTGTTTTTCTGCTTTGAAAGACACACTTTTAGAGTATGTTAGCATTTCCGCTCATGTGCGTAAACATATTTGTTTTGCGGGTTTTAGCGATTTTTAAATTTAAGCTCATAGTAAATTTTCTTTAATTCATTACTTTGTTATATTATAGTATTTTTCTTTTAAAAATATACATACCTACACTTTATATCTTATCGACATTTGTTTTCTTCAATATCTGTTTATCTATTACTTTGCAATATGAAACCTATTAATACTAAATATATATATTTTTTTTTTAATCGTATATAATATACTGGTTTGCTTGAAACGCTTTTTCAAACCTTTTGATATTTCACAGTTGCCGGGTTGAACCTAAAACATCATTAGTTAATTTCAAATTATATTTGTTTTAACTCGGTCGTAAATTCGTTTGATTCAAAGCATTGGTTTTCTCAACGTAAAAAAAAAAATATTTGTTTTCTGTTCAAAACCTCCGCTTGTTATATCTCACAGTCTACTGCCAAAAAAAAATGACTGTCCCTCCCCGCTTGATAATTCGTCTGATCTGATCGTTAAGGATCCTAACTTAGGGTTTGCATTTTTCTGGATTGTACACCTCACACTTTTTGGACTCGGTTAACTCCCCGACCACTATTTCGACAGCTTCACAAGCCGACCACGCAGACTTTTCGCTGTTAACTTGGTCTCCGTCCGGGTACCAATAAAAAAACCTTTTTCGCTATATAGTGTACTGCAAAAAACACCCACATATGACCGTGAGACGTTTCCAACTTACCATATGCTCGTGGATTGCTATTTGCTCCACTATGCTGTCTATTTTTTTTTTTTTTTTTTTTTTTTTTTAATCTGGTCAACGGACGTGTGAAAAATATTGCACGCCGTCTTTTTTAGTTTTATCTTTTCAAAACGTCCGGCGATGACCGTCAGCGTTAGACTACTATTGCGGTAACTCGCGTTTCTCTATGGATTTTGTAAGAGCGTGTAGGTACACCGAGAACCGGAGAAAAATATACACGGCGGAATTTCATCCATTTCCAATTATGTTGTATCCATCCGCTGACGATTTTCCACGGTGGTCACATTAACACCGTGAAGTCAGTGTCGAAAGAAGAAAGTATGTACCTATGCGCCTTTTTGCGCACCGTGCCTCGCACAACCGACAACAGTACCTGTAACCGCTTCACGTGCTCACATTCGAACACGTTAAACCCGCTGCAGTCATCATCATGTCCGATTCTTCGTTCAGCATCACGGTAAGTTGAAATCAAAAATCAATGCATACTAATGGTTTCAAAATTTAACACAAAGTCCGCTGCGCCTTCCATTCGCGATGTCCGCATTTAAAAATACTGTAGTTTTGAGCTGGCTGTATTACATTTTTACATCAGTCATAGGCAAAGACGGGCAGATACATACATTGATACGAGATGAATTCGTAGATAGAATATCGTAATGCATCTATAATTTCACTTCGTGATACAACACGTACGTTGCACGATGGGCCGGAAAAAATGTTAATGTAACAAAATATTTTTTCTCAAAAATCACAACAAATTTAATCTTAATAAATAGTCAGTAATATTTTGTATAAAAGCTAAATTGGACGGCTGATAATTTGCGTTTAATATAATATTATAAATATATACTATCTAAAATTAATGATTTTATACGTATCTTATTCCTAAATTATAAATGAATAGGCGAGAATTTGCATCTATTTTAAAAAAATCAGTACAGTAGGGTCCGGGCGTAGTTGAGACGGGGAGGTCACAGATCTACAGGAATTATTATAACTGATAGTGGTAAAATCACTTTGAATTATGTGCTTAAAAATTAATTTTTTATATTAGAGTGGATACGATTAAAGTTGATCGTCTATTAAAATTAATTTCCGTAGTTACCCATGCATCGTAATTAATAGTATAATGAAAATATGTTCATTGCCGGTTGGCTGTTGATTCACTTACGCATCACAACTTGGAAATTGACTATGGTCAACGTCTAATTTTTCCCGTTTTTGGGCGTTTTTCCATGATAAAAAAAGTTTGACTACAGATTTTTGAGAAAATTGTAAATGTCATTGTTCCATTATTGATCTACTTTCGGTCTAATTTTCAGACCTAGATCCCTAAAAGTTTGCTTGAAAAAGTGAAATAATGAAAACATGTCTAACACTTCTAAGAGAAAGGCTTAGGATATGTTTGTGGTTTGCCAATGTTTATCGCCTATCGGTAGTACTTTGTTTAAAGAAAATGCCCTACAAATTTGGAACTAATTCGACTATTTTTAAAATAAAATATAGAGCATCGTAATTTTAAGCTAAAAAATTTGTAAATATTTTGGGTATTTTTCTCGAATTTGTAGCGGAATGGGTGAACTTATTGTAATTTTTGGCCCAATTAAGTACGTTTTAGGTACTATTTCTGATCTGTAGAGTTATTAAACGAAGAAATCAGTTCAGCGGTTTAAAAGATATCTTGGGTCAAGACGCAAAAAAAAAAGAAAAAATTGTTTGCAAGTCTTAATAATAATACAATTTAATTTAACTAAGACTTTTTTTGATATTTTAATTTTAAATGTGTCAAACAAATAAATTTAAATAGGTAATTTTAGATTTTTGTATTATTTATAAAAATATCAAATTTTATTAGGAGCGTACGATAACTGTTGTGTAACTTTTTTTATTTTTTTGTATAATATTGTTCTGAATGTCTATTACTTATGTGTTACTAAGACGTAGAAACTGTTCACACAAGTCACAATTATATTCAAATATCTTGATGAAATACAATACTTTAAGTAGTTGAAATACCAGATCATTTATTAAACGGTATTTTAAATTAAAAGATAATTTTAAATGACTATGAATTTTATATGCGGCACGCACAAGAAAACATATCATAACCATAATATAAATATTAGAGGCCAATATATTTTTTATTTTTTCTAACTATGAACTAGTGTATAGTTGTCTTGTCAATTAAGTTTAAGAACTAAATTTGAATGTTAGGGGGATGTTGTTATAACACGCCGATTTATACAACCAGAAACATCTTTTTACCTAAGTAATCTATTTGGACCGCTTTTACATGCAAAATACCGTACATGCGTTAAATACATTGTAACGGTTGTTAAGGCGTTCTATAAAAATTGAACCAAGTATATTTCCAGTTTTAAATATTTAGTAAAGAAAAATCATCAGTAATAAAACGTTAGTGATATTATAGCCAGCGCTCAGTTATTACATAGTAGCAATTTTTACGGTTCAATAAAACATTTTTTTTTTTATCAAGCAATAAAACGTCCGCTGTTTAATAATAATTAAAATATTCCGCGAGCCTGTGCGCTATTTTGCCCAACAGTTCGCTCTGGATTTATTTCCATATGGTCTAATATGTTTAATATACCTAGGTGTGTATTATTATAACTGGCCAAGAATAGCATACACAGTTATTTTTTCTTCGGTATAACGTGCAATCGATTCGGCGATTACACGCCTCTATTTCCATTACAATATTATTATGCTTTATTATAAGGTGTTACAATATAATACGTCTACCTATTCTATTATATTCATATTCACACACTTATACATAGATATCATTTGAAAAACGTTTTCAAAACAAGGTCCAAAAGAATCCGAAACTTTTTCAAAAAAATTGTTTTTTTTTTTTGTTTATATACAAAACCAATGAGGGTAACTGTAGGTCAAATGACTTTTTTTTTTTACTATTACCCTATTCGACAAGTTACTACGTCACGATTACCATCTACAGTTTTGCATCAAATCGTTTATTTCTAAATGATTTTATCACTTTCGGTTGTTATATAATTACCGAGAACCTGTGACTTTTCGGTCCCTTCGAATGCTCCGTGCTCCACATTGTTCCGACTCCGTTGTACTTGTTTTTTTTTTTTAATTATAAAAACTTTAATTTCTTAACTTTGTTCCTGTTTTCAGCATAGGAAATACATGGACCCGTGGGACCTGGACTTGCGGGAAGTCTCTTGGAGACACTCGAGCGACACGACGGACTGCTCTGCCGACCAAGTCGTGTCGCTGTCGTCAGCAGCTGGGCCTGAGTCGACCAGGTCGGATTTTGTGTACGTGCCCGGTCCCAAAAATCGAGCTCGGGCCAGGGCTCGTTCTGACATCATCAGCGACCGTTACTATTACCAGTGTCCGCCGAAACCGTCGAGTCCCGATGTCGATTCGAGTAACCGAATACATCCCATACACGTTTAGAAAACCCTATTGCAGTTTAATATTTGAGGCCTGTCGTTCCAAAAGGAGATAGAGTCTAGAGCGTTTGTGTGAAAACCGTATTCTACCGTTCTCCCCCCCCCCCCCATCTGTGGCATTCCGTTCAGACCTCAAATCGGGGTAGAATCCAGTCAAAAATCTATCTTTAAGTTTGCTTACACGACAAAACTGGATAAATCATTAACATCCCTGAAGTTTTTTCTCCTGTATAATTTTTTTTTAAAAAAGATTTATCTAATTTTCGAACGCCAGGCTCTCAAAAGGCCACCAAAATAGTAACGTCAAGACCGAAGAGTTTTTCTTCACACTTATAGTACTCTATACCTAAGAGTTTTTGACGCCATCAGTATTTTCTTCCATTTCTCCAGTCAGGCACTCCTATTCTTTTCAAATCGTTCTCAACTAAATCCGATTATATTTTTTGGGTCGACCTCGGATGCAAAGTTGAGCATAAATTGTTAATTTTTCAATTAATTGATGACTGAACTGAAAATTGAACTTTAGAATCATTTAGTATTTTGACTTGTAAACATCTTTGGGCGTGTTATCGATTTTGGCTATGAGTAATTCCGCGTAACATTCACGTTTAGTGGATATTAATGACATTACATTGATTAATAATAGATAAAAAAACATTTTTACATACACCAACTTAACCTGTCATTTAGTGAATCTTTTTTTTTTAGAGTTGGTATGTTAAACTTATTTTTTTGTTCTAGCCTAAGTTTTCTTTAAACAGTCTAAAATCCGCTATTTCTTAAACATTGGCTTTTAAGCATGATTGAGATATTATATTTTCAGTTAGATGTCATTGATAGGTATAAGTTGTTGGTAACTACTGAATTATTTTAGTATTATCTAAAAGAAAAAAACACTTGCAATGATAAAACAGTAGTAGTTCTAGTTATGAGAGACAAAGACGATCCGGTTCCAAGATTAAGAATGCTACAATTGCTAATGAAATTGGTTTACTCAGTTTTTTATTGAGAATTCTTTTTGAGCTAACAGTAATTTGACAGTGACGGTAATCCGATCGTCCTGGTCAAATAAAGATTAACTGGGCGTGTGTTGTAATGTATTGCCCGAGATACAACGACCCTTTTTGCTTTTTCCCAAAAGCTCTTTTTTATGATTACAAATTATAAGACAATAAACTATAGCATCCAATAATTCAGTAATCAAACGCTGTACGTTTTTGTAAAAAACTTGAGTGCCAAATCGAGTTCATTTTTTATTCTTTGCTCAAACCGGTTGCACTCCTCGTTGACTTTTGTTACTTTTATCGACACGCCGACTTGGACAATCTCATTTTATTTTATTTACCGCTATTTCCGCTATTGATCCCTCTAACCTACCGAAAGAACCGCACCTTAATGATCGGAATCGAAATCAATTTTTCTCGTGTTGCTTATATTCAATAAAACATGACCATCTTTTTTTTCAGCCGAAGTGTACGAATACTGGGAACCGCCACCGAGCAAGCAACAATACAATCATTTTTATCCCGTGGCAACGTCCAGCCAATGTTGTTTGTTGTATGACGTTTCCTCCGGACCGGAACAACGACGGTTCTCCCGTTACAACAGGTAACAAGTCCTACTAGACTAGTCCGAAAATCATAATAAAAAAATACAAATTGCCTTGCCGTCGGTCAATGTGGTATTATTTTAGTAATTTCCTACACCCACGGCCCTTAAATATTTTATATTCCGTTCAAAATGGATAAAAAAAATAGGTCGAAATTAAAAATTGAGCAATCTATCTGATAGTACTTAGTTCAAAGTACTTTACAAGAATTACACAACCAACATTTGGCTGGTACTTGACATTTTTCTAAGTGTCACAGAATGCAAAAAGTACATTGAGATCTACAGGGAAAACTCATACTAGAAAAACTATAAGTTGGAATCACTCGATTTTTACATTCAATTAAAAAAGTAGAAATTATTATAAAATATATTTATTGCGACTTTTTAATACCTTATTATATTTTGTTTAAATTATATTATCAGTAAAATCGTTTTTTTAACTTTTATGTAGGTTCTAATAAAACGATATCCAACAAAATAATGATTATAATTGATGTTTAAAATTTGTTTGATCTTTGGCCTATAGAGTTATTATATAATAGATATACCTGAAATACTTTGTAGCTTATTTTTTATCTATTCTTAACTAAATAAAAGGGCGTACCGATTAAAATTCCACTAGAGCCAAAATAAGGACCCCCCCCCTACTACGCATGTCTTTGTTCCTTCACCCTTGACCTTTCTGCACCTGATTATTTTTTATTTTAAATTCCAAACCCAACACTTAATACGTATCCGCCAATAATAATTAGTTCTGTGGTTGCTGATTACTATGTGTGTTACGGCACATTAAATAGCAGTTAGGTTAGGAAGCTCGGTGATAATGAAAAACTATTAATCAAAACGCTTTTCCAGAAAGTACCTTTCACGCATTCGACCAACACTAGAACCGACCCGTAACAAGTATAGTATAATAATAATTGCGCTCTTACCATTTTAAATGTTCTCTTGAATAACACCTTATGTCCTAATGTATAACGTAGGTGGTCAATTAAATATTTTCCATAGTGCTCTTAAAGCGAGTACTCGGAAATCGTGTAGGAAACGTTGACATGTCAAAAACATTTTTTTTTTCTATTGTAAATTCTATTTTTGTATTTACAACGGTTTTTACTTTTTTACACTAGGCACTTTATTTAGTTAATTGATTCTTTACTTTGTGTACTTCAATTTTCTTGTAATTACCATGATTAAAACACTAAGAACTGTCTGCGAACACTTATATACCTTCTTAAAGTTTACACACAGTATGGTGTTTGAACGGAGACAGATAAAGTCTTAACTTTATTCATTTTCTTTGGGCTGAACAAATGTAATTAATTAGCTTTTATCGATAACTTTTAACTAATTTTAAAACGTAGGTTAGGTGCAGATAATTACTTACTCAGAACTTCTCTGATGTTACTCTGATCTGATATACTTAAACCGAAAACCGCAACTGTGCCTTATTATCGTCAATTCAAAAACTACAGACTAACGTTTTGACAGTGTCTAATAATACTATTTAATATACAGCTCCTGGTCTAACCTAAGAGCGAAGAGAAAAAAAACGAAGTATCTATTATCCTACATACATAAGTAGCTAGGAGTCATGCCAATAACAGTGGAAAATAAGAAAGATAGGTTGATTATGTAGAGAGAAAAGGAAGAAAATGGAAATAGTTAAAACGGACAAAAGATATTAATGTAGAGACATTTATAGACAATGTAGACCGAATATAAAAAAACTTAATGGATCTTATAAATAAAGACTTGGAAGTTTGTGGAATGGATATGAATAAAAGAAATGATGATTTGACTGACCGACTGACGTTTGTAAGGGATATGTCGATGTAGGTATAAGAATAGCGACTTGAAGCAAATAAGTGTTATTATCGTGTTTTTTTTTTCAATACTTACTTTGTATGTTTGTCTAATGATAACAAAAAGTACAATTTTTAAATATTTGACACGATTTAGGAAGTGTATAAAAAGTAGCGTGCACGGATTATACTGTATTGGCAAGGTTACTATTTCATGTTAAAAGTTCACGCCGAACTGTGAGTTGTCCATATTTATACTTTCAATAAATATCTCTTGATACTAAGTATACACGCGTTAGCGAGTTGGTCTCGACTACAAAAGTAATAAATTATTCTCGCGCCCATTGATCAAACCTGATGCAGTTCCATTTCCGCCTCCCAGATGCTATAACACAAGGCGAACAAGAGAGGAAAAAATTAACTTCCACATCAAACTCCGTTTCAACTTATTTTTTTCCGACGGATAAAATTAAATCGGCCCATTCCGATAGTTTGTGCTGGCTATAAATTACACTGTTTGTCACAATTCTGACTGTTAATGAAAAAAAAACAATTCCAAAGCAAAACGACGAAGTGAAATTGTTAACTTCTTTGGCGCCGCCGTCAGCTATTTTTAACAATTACTTTGGAGACTTAATTGTAGAGACGAAATTTGTATAATTTAAACACCAACAATAGCCGAAACACTGGAATCAATACAAAATGTCGACGGAAAGATATTGCTTAAGTACTATTTAAAGTTTTATGGCATAAACTATGTAAATGACCAAAGTAAAAAATAAATGCATGCACATCAGTGACGCATCAAGGTAGTAAATTATTTTGCTCGCAAAGTTCCTTACATGTTACGAAGGCAGCGTTTTCCAGCTGAATTAAGCAGAAAAAATGTTAGTTAGTTTTATTATACCAGTTTCTTTACTTGTACAGTTTTATTTTGTTAAATTTGCTTAGTGTTTGTCAGCGTTGGTTCGTACATATTACAATTTATAATTTCATATATATTAGCAAAAAAAAATGTTTTTTATTTTGTCACTTAACAATATTTTACTACGAGCTTGTTTTTATGTTCAAAAATGTTATCCACGCTATTAGAACCATATTTAATGTCTCTAGTTTAACACAGTAATTACACAGTAGGGAAAAAATAAAAACCAATTGGACCGGTTTTCAACCGTCAACTTTGATGTGCCATATCTTCGCGAAAAACGGATCGAGAAACATTGATAAGGCATGCTTCTATCCACGCATTGACTCAAATCCAAATTCCAAAAATCCCCCCCCCCCCCGTTATTAGAAAAATTCTCAAATTTTGGGCAACACGAAAAGCCCGCTTTTTAGATTATAAACTTAATTTTACATGACAATGTTTTTTCAGAAAGCTATGATTATTTTACATAAGAAACTGATTTTTATTCAAATGTTTTTATCGCCAAAGATACTATGATAAAACGATAAAAAAAAAGAGTAAAGAAAATAACAAAAAATACTTTGTACGACAAAAAAATTGAGAACATTCTTTTCATCGTAACAGACATGTAGAGTAAATTTAAAAAAGTTTCACGGTAGGGTGGTGCTCCTAATTCGTTTGTATTTGGCGTGTGACCCATATGTACAAAATTATTTTTATTGAAAATATATACAGAGTTATCCAAATTGTATGTTAAAAACAACATGAATTTGTAATACAAAATGTGGCATAAATTTAAATAACTCTGTACATAACTCCTATAATATGAATAATGTACAAGATCGTACGAATTATCCGATTCATAAGTTAAATTGCTCTATCTATTTTTATTTTACATTAGAAAACCTTTAGATTTGTATCACGAAAAAATTACCTTGAACGCACCGTTTTTATCATCACAGCTGGTTACATAGCTCTAGGCAAGAACAAAACATGGAAATGTCAACATTCGAATGTCATGGCACGCATTGAATATTATTTTCATAACGTCATTCTGAATTGAATAGGTAAATAAAATATGTAGGTTGCCATTTGACTTATTGTGAAACTTGCCTTTAAAACTACACATTAAACAAACTATAATTTTTACTTGATTGAAGCAATATATTAAATATTTTATTTGAAACTTTTAGCCAATACAGTGGTTTTATTAAAAATAATAATATAGATAGGATTCTGTAGACTCTGTATTAAACGGGTTGCGCTAGATAAATAATACCGTTTACTTACTAGACAGTAGATACTAACGTTTGAAAAGTTTTAACTTTAATTTGATTTACTTATTCAATATCATATAGGATGTATTAATAAAAATAAATCAAATCTACCTAGTATACCCTAAGCACGTTATAGCCTAGGCATAACGAGCTGATAAAACCCGTTATATTTTTTAACCGAATAACATAACGAAACAATACGTATACTTGGCTGTACACCATTTTGGTTAAAAACAAAAAAACAAAATACCAAATGGAAAAACACATTTTACACACCGCCAATTTGTAAACACACTCGAAAACAATGAACTCAATAAAAAATCAAGACCGAGCACAGTCGAATAAATAATTTAACGTTATGCTCCGGTGAACGCCGAAACCGTCGAAGGATTAAACTCGCCTAAGTATACAATATTATGTTTTCCAATGTTCAGCCGTGTAGAAGTGGTGTACACATGTTAGATTAGATTTTGGTATTTCAGAATCAAATTTCGTATTAGAATATCAATAGTGTAATACCAATTACATCCCGCAGTCAAGTCAATCATCTTGACTAAATACCGATACTTAGTGATTGGATCGGAAATCACTCTCGGTTTTACTTGTTACCTATTTGTTTTGTAATTACTTGTGGTGGTATTTACGGTTTTCAATTATATATATATATATATATATATATATATATATATATATATATATTTTATTTTTGCAGTGACGCGGAATCGGTGAGCAGAACTTATGAGACTAGTAGCGGCGAATACGGTTCGTCCGAAAACGTCGCCGCCGGCCAATTTCGGTATAACACTTTAGGTCACATGAAAATTGATTATTCGTCAAACTGGCAAAATTTGGACAAATACATATGTCAAGCCTAGTGGGCGAAATGTATTAATGTATAGGATAATCGTTTTGTGGTAATTTTTTTTTTTTTAACAGCAAAATATTGCCATTTATTAACTCAATTTTTAAGATACTCTATTTTGTCAATAATAATTATTTGTGAAAAATTGTAATTGAATGTAAACGCCATCGAGTAGGTAAACATTATGTAAATTTAGATGTATTAATGTTATTGCCAAAAATTACTTATAGTAAAATAATACGAACGCATTAATTGAAAATAATGATAAATCGTAAAAAAATGTAATAATCGTTTATTATAACGTTGACACAAAATGCGTAGTATGAAAGTACCTATTCTATTACTGATGCTAGTTCAAGTAGAACTATTGTATTTTAATATACTGGTGGCATATATCACTGTTCACATATTATATATATATATTATAGAAGCTGAACGAGTTTAATCTAACCGACTCGTGCCAGACATTACATTTTTTCCAATATGTTAAGCAATAATAATGGATGATGTCGAGAAAAATGTGTTGGATGGAAACCGCGTGTTAAAGCGTACAAAATACTACTTAAATACTCATTACTCGATTTTGGATTAAATCAACTTGTTACTAAGTTTTCCGTTTTGCGGCAGAATCCATAAACCGTTACACTACATACCTAATCAAACTTCAATTTAAACTAGATCAATCTCAATAACAACGTAAACAGGAAAAAAAAAATCACTGTTATTCAGTAATTAGTTGATTAGCGCAGGCCAGAACCACGTTCTAATAGCGTGTACACGTTTTAGGTTTAAAAAAAAAACACAGTATTTTTCAGTCAACTAAATTAAAGCAAAACAATGAGTTCGTTGAAATCAAAAGAAAAATCGTATTATTCCAAACCCGAATGAACAATTATTTTATATGCCATTTGATAACAGACGAATCAAATAAATTATTGATCAATACTTTTCAATTTACTTTTGACGAAATGTATTAATTTTTGTGTAAAGTAATTTTGCCGTAAGACACAAATTACAGTATATAAGAAGTGAAACGACTTATTCTTTAGCATTTTATTGAAATTAATTACGTTTGACCGTTATATTAATACATCATATTCCCAATGATTTTTTTTTGTATGTTGTTTACTTTGTTCTTGTTGGTTTAATTTTAGTTGTTTGTTGTTAAAAGTTAATAAAATGAGTTCAACGAGCATTTTCAAAGAAAACGACCTTGTTTGACTTACGTCAGTACGAAAGTAAATCAATTGATGTACTTCGAAGTGAAAAACCTACATTTTATGTTATTTCTTTGTACGCGCTTAAGTGTACTTAAGAGTTTAGGTCTCAAGCTTTAAAATGTAATTAGATTGCATGTAAGTAGTTCTTGATTTTACTGCCAATCTTTTGATTGATTTGCTGCAGTTACTATGTCTTTCTGTTGTAGTTCGCTACTTTAAATCCCGATGTCTATCTACACATTTTTCAAAATTCCTATCCTGAACTCCATCCTTGGCCATCCACATGATAATTTCTTATAGAGTTTCTTTCTTAATTCAATGGTCAATGCTTCTTCGTTTGTAAAGCTCTGACTTCGTTGTATCTTTAGCATTTTGCGATAATACCACATTTCAAATGTCACTAATTTTGTTTTCCACAACACCTATTGTCCAAGCTACACATCTGTGTAAAACCACACTTCCTGCATATACTTTTAAGACTATCTCCTTGTATCTTAAATTATATTATTAGCGATTAGGAAATATGCCTGGTGGTTCACTGTGACCATCTTTTGTAAGTTTCATTCTGAAATAACTGAAATGTTCTATACAAGCATTACCCTTACTAATGTTCAAACGGGTTTGTTTAACTCGTCTATTTTTATTTAGATGCATTTTTTCATACTTGTGCTGTAGTATTTTGTTTATTATACTTTGAAGGCGTTCTTCTTTTTTCGCGCAGAACGAGCTGTCGGAAAATTTATGTATAGATTAAATATCTAATATCGGTGATAGAGTACAGCTTGTTCAATGTCTTTTAGAATTCTAAGGAACTTTCAACGTACTTTTTTATTTATAAATTAATTATGTATCTACCTATCCGTTATGTTTGGTTCCTATTACACATAGTATTTCAAATAGCTCAGTGGTAGATGACTATGATATTTATGAAGTAATGTCGTCAACAACATGTTAACTTACAAGTATAATAATACTTTTCGTATTATCCGGATTCAATTGAACAGGATTATCCGTTTTTTTTTTTTTTGTATTACAAACACTAACTTTAGTAAATATTAGCAAATCCAAATAATCGTTATAACCATATACAAATCTCAGAAATTGAGAAATATGTTTTATATGCCTCTATCTGTGTAGCCAATGCATTTTGTAAATAAAGTGTCTTTTTTTTTTAACCATTGATTCACTATAAGTAACACGTTTTTTTTTTTGAAATACCGCTGCACCATCACCGATCAAACTGACTGTTTATGGTTTATATTCAAACCTGAAGCGCTCTCGTAGTGCGTTTTGGTCGTAAAATATAAAAGCGGCCGAATCGACGGAGACGTGAAGACATATGTATTTTGATGACGATACCAAAAGCGGGATCGTAAAAAATTACAACTATGTGCACACACGTTATAAATACATATTATTCCAGTCGAATAATTTAGCTGTCGATTTTTTTTCCCGTACCTTTTTCCGTTTTGCCCAGAATAATATTATGATCTTTTACGGCGAGGCTCAACAACGTCAGGCACTCCATGTTATATTAAATTTATAATGTCAGACAACATTCACGAGCGGTATTATTTCAGTTTGATAAAAAAAAAAAAAAAAAACATTAGGTCTCGGTGCTTAGTTATTATTCTCCTTTGTTATTATTATTCGCTATCGATTGCCGCCGCCGAGCGGTAAATAATTACGACAATTCAAGTGCATCTCTCTTTTAGTTCTGTTCAAGTATGCCGAATGATCAAATTATGTGTAATACCGACGGACATCAGTAACGCATCAGTTTACGGTTGTATAACTACTCCCCAGCGAAAAAAAAACTATAAATTAATAATCGTTCATATTAACTCTATGTCTCTAAACACAGACTCTTGGGACCGTTTGCCTTAAGCCTCTCCTATGAATAAAAACATTCATGGCGTTGTAATATTGTACACTTGCTATACTGAGTAAAATCAGCAAAAAAAAGCTCACGGATCACATTTGTTTTTAAGGAATTACTGAATACTATATTGGTATAAGACGTGCTATAAGAACACACCGGGCGTTCGACTAGTAATAATTTTCAAAAAATTATTTAAAAAACCGACAAAAACTAAATCCGTTTAGGTTCCTTGGTACCTATCGCATAGCAAATATGTCGCATACCTAAGTCATCAATACTAATTTTCACTCGATGTTAACGTCAAATTAAAAAAAATTTTGCATCCCACTTATTACCTGTTTTTCAAATCTTATTTAACAGATCGTTTTTTCCAAATCCGTCATGGTTCTTCAGTATCTGATATAGCCTCTATAAAAGCGGGAGTTCCACAAGAAGGTACTCTATCTCCAGTCCTATTCAATATCTATACCTCAGACCAACCCACAACTCCTAACACAATTGTTGCAGATTATGCTGATGACAAAGCCATTTTGTCCTATAACTCTGACCCTCGGATTGCATCCGTTAATTTGCAAAATCATCTTCATTTAATGGAAGACTGGTACACAAAATGGCGTTTTAAAATTAATCAATCAAAATCAGTTCACACTACCTTTACTCTAAGACTTCTCCCTTGTCCTGGTGTCTCCCTATACGGAGTACAAATCCCCTCCTCTTCCTCTGTCAAGTATCTCGGTCTCACACTAGATAAACGACTCACATGGGCTCAGCACATTAAAATTAAACGTTTGTCTCTAAATAGCCGTCTGCGGTTACTCAAATCATTAACCGTAAACAATAAATTTACAGATATTAATACAAAACTTCTTATTTATAAAACCCTTTTAAAAACCATATGGACTTACGGCCTTCAGCTATGGGGCAATGCTAAAAAATCCAATACCAATAAAATTCAATGCTTTCAAAATATTGTCTTAAGAAAATTAATCAATGCACCTCCTTATATCTCTAACTATACACTCCATAACGACCTTAACTTAAAAACAGTCCATGAAGAAGCTATCTCCTACTATAAAAGATTCCACATTAAACTACTCTCCCACTCTAATCCCCTTATAAAAAACCTCTCAACCTTGTCCATACCTGGAGACCCACCCAGACGTTTAAAACGTAAGTGGTGCCGTGATCTTCTATATAATAATATCAATTTATATTAATACATAATTACATCAATGTAAATATAAGTTTAAAAATTTTAAAAAAATCATTAGAAGTGTCACTAATGAGTGGTTTCTTCCATCAAAATGTATTCATGTAATTTATCTCTACTTTTATCATATATGCTTATTGTGCTCATTGTACAGATTGTATATTTCTGATGTAAAATAAAAAAAATAAAAATAAAAATGTTAACGTCTCGAATGTGATCCGTTTATATAATGTTGTTACTGTGTACAAAACATATATTGTCTTTATTAGTATACTTTGTAAGTTATTTTTAATCATTCGTTATATTTCTGAACTTGTTTGATAGAAAACAATTCTTTAATAAAAAACTAAAATGGTATTTTCACAACTTTGGATTTAAGAAATTAATTGACGTTAGAAAAACAATTCTGCGACTAGAATCGGTTTTAGCAATATTTTTATTTTTTTTATTAAAATAAAATACAATCTGTACAAAACATACAATTAATGTTTGAGGTGAACCAAAAAAATGTATATGCGTTTTGGTTATTAAAAACCCCGAAAACTTTAATTTGAATCTATGAGTTAATTCATTATACATGTACTATGTATTGTTCGAGAGTACAATATGTAATACTTAAAAGTTTAGCTCGAAAATTCGATTTCACGTTATTGTTATTCAGAGACTGTTCTTGTTGAATAGATATTCGGCAATCGAGTAGTTATTGCGACCGATCAAAGTTTCACGAGTAAGTTGAAAGACAAGCGAAAAAAAAAAGCCCAGGTAAAACCAGTAGTGCAAAAGTTGTGTTTTAAATTGAAAATAATAAATGTCCATGCCGCACGCGCGCCGTGTAAAGCCTCTTAGGTTTTCCACCGTCAAAAGCTATACAATATAATATTATTATTAATATATGTTATTCGAGTGTGTCTTTAAGTATTCTTTTCCGGATAAAATGTTTGCCAAAAAGACTTGCAAACCGCAGGATTGCGGTCGTGTATTATTGGATTCCATAAACCACAATAGTTCGGTGGTGTTTGCCAAACTGAATCCGTTGTTTAAGAGTGTGCGCAACTTTTTAATTATAAAATACTATGAACTAACTTTAATTTTTCAATAAAATAAATAAACTTAGCTGATTAAAAGAAAAGAAAAAAATTAAACAAACATCAACGAATATCAATAGTTTGTCACGGTTGAGTTTTTTTCTGATGCACCAAACCGGAGTCCGGACCCAAATTACTAATTGTTACAATAATTATTATCACATAATTAAAACGAAAACCAAAAAACTACTATAAGAAAACTACCAATTTGGTAACCCAGTTGCTAACAAATGTATGGTTAACGGTATACGGTATACGGTTAGCAAATCGGGTTTCTGTTTATGGCCAAGTGCATACAAAATACATAATATTAATAAATTATATTATATTTATCAATATTAATTACTATCATATGGTTTTTAATTTTTATATCGTATTATTAATATTATTAAAAACCCTAACATATACAAAATTATATTTAATAAATAAAATACATAACTGAATGTTTGTTGTTATTAGATACCAACCGGCTATTTAAAATACCAATCAACTGTTTAAATACCCTTTAACTTTTGCAATAAGTATATTTACTCTAAAGTCCCTTTTTATTGACAATATTTGTCGATTCGATATCCACAATTTGTGGTTGAAAAATAATTTATTAATATTTATTTACCTAAGGAACTCTCAAACTAACAATATAATATAAATATTGATGTTTGTATACTTAGCAGTAACCCAGAAACTTAATCAATTTCGTTAAGATCCTATAGTTAATAAGTATAGGACCTATATACCTAAGTAAAGTCTAATCCTGTATGCTGTATGCTCTAATACGATACCTGTATTAATTCAGACACACCCTTTTTAATTGTATTCATATTAAGTTAAAAACCAAAATCAAGAGAAGTTATAATGAGAGATATAATGCGGATCTAAAGTCAATCAATACTAATAATCATTAAAATCCTTACAGCACATATTACAGAAATATTTCGTATTCAATTTAAACTTTGATGTAAAACTGAAAAGGCACGGTAAGGTTTCTAAATGAGTTCTCTTCGTTGTGTCGTTCACCATGTATTGGTACATCCAAGACATGGAATTATTGACTGATTTCTTCACATATAAATTCAATGGTCCAAAAATGCTACACCAAAGACTTAATACTTAAGATTCCTTGGAAATTAATATAAAAATCACTACAAAAATACGTATTAATCTTGGGCATTATTTAAATAAATATGCACATATTATGTGCACAAATAATTGATAAAATTTTATTTTTTATTTGAACAAATTTAAATAATTAATAAATTAGTTATTAAAATTAATTTTTAATAAACTCGAAATAATTTGTTGTTATAAAACGATAATAATAATTATAGAAATAAAAAAAAATAACTAGAATAAAAGATCAAAAAATAAAATCGAATAAATATATTATATATATATATATATATATTTATAACAAATTAATTAAAATGACAGTATGTGTGATACAAAAAATTATAATTTATTGTTTATAAAAGTAAATAAAATTGTATTTATGTTATTAAGATAACAATTAAATCAATTGTGATCTATACTCTGCCCCGCGAGAGAACGGTCCTGCGCATAAACTAAAACGCAATACTCTCGTGTGCGTTTGCGCAGACAGCAGTGACCCGTTTCGGTAACTGAACGTACTGTTCTCTCATGAGACAGAGTATATAATTGAAGGTGAAAAAAGTAAATGTGTTCCAAACGAAAAAAGAAAAAACGTCGTTGCATACAATTTTAGTACTCTAACCTTCTCGTCTCTACAACGAAATTAACAAAAATAAAATGTTTTTATATAATTAACACATTCAAAACTTACTCAATTGTTCGAACTATTAATTATTGACGTTTGGAAAAGTTTAAATATTGAATTATTAATCAAAGCCATGATTGAAATATACAAGGTTATTGCCCATAATATAATACCTCTTCTTCGTCAAATATTCGACGATAAAATCAAATATGTCAGTACAACGGGCAGCCAATCAAAATCAAGTATATAAGTATACGGTAAAATAATATATAATAGTAGTAAAGTATACTGTAAAGTTGATATCCCGTTTCGCTGTCATTTTATTTCTGAAGATAACAATAATTCGAGACGATGTGCTGAATATTTCAACCATGATCAAAGCTAAAGCGGCGGCAACAGTTCGTGTTTATTGGTAATTGGTTCGAGAAAAACTACAGGTAATTTTGAATTCAACCAAATCTCATGGAAGAATAACCTAATATATTACACACGAGCTGCTGCACAGACAATTTGGATAAATTTGTCTTGCTAGCGTGTTAAATAAGTATATTTAACTGGGCAATTTGTTTTCAATCGGATTAAACCAAACGGAAGAAATTAATTGGCACTCGACGAATTAATTATAAAATAACGATTGGCCAATTATTGTTAACACGTTTTACTTTTTTTTAGGTTATTTCTTATCGCCTGTAAAACATCGCATCTGGCTTCACACTTAACACTTATTATAGTGCAGTTTTAAAAAACTGCAAAAAACTCGTGTGGAGTTGTTACGTTTTGCAATTAGTTTTTATTTTACTTTTTCGAAAGTACATTCGTTAAAATATTTGTATTTAACTCGTTATCTAATTCCGTCGGTTTTATTTAATCCAAGTGAGTACATTAATATATTCATGTCAGTGTAAATAATTATGGTTTTCAATATTGATCATTATTTTCGAGATACTATTATTTTTTGTACTATAGATGATAAACTTTGTAACTTATACCATAATTATTTACCATTGTTTGGTATTCTTTTCGACTAAATTTATCACAACGGTCATTTTTGAGAGTTCATACCTTACTACTAAGTGCTATGTGGGACACAGTAATAATTGTTGTCTATCCAATTTGTCACTCATCTGGAATTTTCTTGGAGGGGGAAATCATCTACAGTATCCTCCTCGATTCTTCAATTTGAACTAGCGCTTAGACACTGTACAATTGTTTTTTTTAATTGTCTTAAAACTTGTAATTAACACCGAAGAGTTTGACTAATCAATAAAGTATTGTAAAAAAGTCCACTGGAATATTCTTTTGTTCCAGAGCAACACTGAAAATAATATAGCGTGTATAACATTCATTTAATGATAAGAAATATAACTACTGAGACAATACATGTTTAATGGCGTACTGATGTTTTTGTATGATAGATCATTTTTAAGTATTACTGTTTAAATTGTTTTCTAGTATGCCATCTGATTCTAAAAAAAGACAACAAGCACAAAAAAAGAATGCTGCAAAAGCTCGTTCAACGGTCAAAACAACAACGACTACAACTAAAGCAAATGAAACCAATGGGGTTCACGGCAGCAATAGTATTCCTATTAGTGAAGAAGGTATTGCTTTATGTTAAACAGTGATACGGTCTTGATTTAATTAAACTGGATGCTTACAGTTATTGTATTTGTTTTACAACTTTTAGAGTTGCTTTGCAAGAAACTGGAAGCCGATGCTAAATTGAACGCTGAAGCTCGTGCGTGTACTGGTAGCTTGGCGTCGCATCCGAGATCTAGAGATGTTAAAATTGATAATTTATCCATTAGTTTCCATGGCTGTGAACTTTTGCAAGATACCATGTTAGAGTTAAATTGTGGTCGGCGATACGGTCTAATTGGATTAAACGGAAGTGGTGAGTAAAGCATCAAATGTTTAACTAATTCAGGTTTTTTTTTAGATTAGGTAACTATTATCATTAGCAATATTAGTTATATTATCCAAAATGGTTGTACCTACTTATTGTTTGCTAACATTGAAATTTTCAACAGGGAAATCGACTCTTTTATCAGTATTAGGAAATCGTGAAGTACCGATTCCCGATCAAATTGATATTTTTCATTTGACTAGAGAAATGCCAGCGTCGGAAAAATCTGCTCTCCAATGTGTCATGGAAGTAGACCAGGAAAAAATTCGACTCGAAAAACTAGTGGATGAACTCGTCGCGTGTCCCGACGATGGTAAGTTTCAAAAAACCCTACATATGTTGATTAGCATTGTGCCAACAAAATTAATTTTTTTGTAGAGTCACAAGAACAACTCATGGACGTTTACGAACGGTTGGACGATATTTGCGCCGATACAGCAGAAGCTCGAGCCGCTAATATCCTGCACGGTCTCGGCTTTACAAAAGAAATGCAGAACAAAAAGACGAAAGATTTTTCAGGTAATCAAATTTTGTCCCTCATACATTGTATACATCAATGTTTACATTGATACATACTATATTTGACTTTGGCTCGTCATGGCTTATAACCAAAATCATTTTTATTTTTTAGGAGGTTGGCGGATGAGAATCGCTTTAGCTAGAGCGTTGTACGTTACTCCTCATTTGTTGTTACTCGACGAACCTACTAACCATTTAGATTTAGATGCTTGTGTATGGCTTGAAGAAGAATTGAAATCGTAAGATCTCACAATTTGTTTGCATACAAAACTGAAGAAATATTTATAATTTATTTTTATTTCAACCCAGGTATAAGAGAATTCTAGTTATTATATCTCATTCTCAAGATTTTTTGAATGGGATTTGTACCAATACAATTCATTTAGACAAGAAAAGGCTCAAGTACTATGGTGTATGTATAAACTCGCTTAACATTTTTAAATAGGTACACTAAGTGTTGTAATGTAAATTTTTCAGGGTAATTATGATGCATTTATCAAAACTAGAGTTGAGCAATTAGAGAACCAAATGAAGCAATACAATTGGGAACAAGATCAAATTGCACATATGAAAGTAAATACAATGTTATAATAGGTGTTTAGAAAAAAAAAACTCTAGAACGCGTTTATTTTTAGAACTATATCGCACGGTTTGGTCACGGAAGTGCTAAACTTGCTAGGCAAGCTCAGAGTAAAGAAAAAACCCTAGCCAAAATGGTAGCGCAAGGACTAACAGAGAAAGTAACCAATGACAAATTAGTGACGTTTAATTTTCCTTCATGTGGAACCATACCTCCACCCGTTATTATGGTTCAGGTATACATAAATTTTAATTGTATTTAAAATAATAAAATCGGAGTTGGTTCAAAAAACTAGTAAGATTTTATGAACTCTCGTCATGTATGAAAATAATTTTATTTCATTTCTAGAATGTGAGTTTTCGTTATACCGATACTTCGCAATACATCTATAAAAATTTAGAATTTGGTATCGATCTAGACACGAGGCTTGCATTGGTGGGACCTAACGGAGCTGGTAAAAGTACTCTTTTGAAATTGCTTTATGGCGAAGTAAGTTAATTTAAAAAAATGTTCTTGTTGTTGAAATTTATACCTGGTTATTGAACAATTATTGTAGCTATTCCCAAGTGAGGGCATGATACGCAAAAATTCCCATTTGAGAATTGCCAGGTATCATCAACATCTACACGAACTTCTCGATTTAGATTTGTCGCCGTTAGACTACATGATGCAATCGTTTCCGGACGTAAAGGAACGTGAAGAGATGCGTAAAATCATTGGACGTTATGGTTTAACCGGAAGACAGCAGGTTAGTAATATTATCGTTGAAACTGACAGCAATTAGTCAAACGCAAATAACGTCATAAGATATCTTTTCTTTAATATCTTAAACTAACAAGTAAAGGTTTGGTAATAACGTTTTTGTCTTATTTTTCAAGTCCATTTAAAATTTTTTCTTTTCCTGGCCAACCCTATCATAAGATAAATGCTTGGAAATATTTTCTACATATTATTCTTCGTAAACCAGCAACTTTTTTATATTTTTAGGCAATTAAAAAAAAACTTTTTAATTACAATTTATGCTTACGAAGTCTTGGTGAAAATATCTAGTTACCAAATTATTTTTTTTAATAATCAGCATATTTTATTATACTTATTTTCATTTTGCTTTATACCTTCCCTTGAACCATATCTAAATTATAGTAACTTTTATAACATAACAATTTTTTTATTTATTTATAAGATTTTAAAAGGTTTTCATTGATGATTAAATTTCCAAATTATAAGTATACAAACATAGATAGCAAAATAGTATTGGAAAATATTAGTTTGTTTACTTATAAGTTCTAGGCTTACCTTAGGAAACTATGGGTCTTAAAGTAAGTATACCCCGTTTTGCTTATAAAAAATTATTAAAAGATCATTAAACCAATCGACCTCGTACGACTTCACCGTCGGCTCTTCCTAATTAATATTCCAAACAATATTTTCTTAAGTACTACTTTTTATTTAGATCACCTCATTAAAAATGTTAATTTTTTTTGTTTTTTGTTATTGCATTTTAGGTGTGTCCTATTCGTCAGCTTAGCGATGGTCAGAGATGTAGAGTTGTGTTTGCGTACTTGGCTTGGCAAGTTCCCCATTTATTATTGCTCGACGAACCTACTAATCATTTAGACATGGAAACGATCGATTCCTTGGCAGATGCTATTAACGATTTTGACGGAGGCATGGTTCTAGTTAGCCACGACTTCAGACTTATTTCTCAGGTAAACCATAAATTTGTATATATTGCGATACATCAGAGAGGGTCAGCTCGTTCAATAATCTATTTTCTTATTTTTATTCTAATAATTAGGTAGCGGAAGAAATTTGGATTTGCGAAAACGGCTCTGTAACAAAATGGCAGTCCGGCATTTTAGATTACAAAGAACATTTGAAAAAGAAAATTATGAAAAACAACGCTGAAATGGCGATTAACAAGCGCTAAGTTGTTAGCTCATTTTTTTTTTTTTTTTAATTTGGCTGTTTAACATCATTAAATTGTTCAGTTACTATGAATGAAAATGAAATAAAACACAATTCTATATACAATTATTATAAATAGGTTTGTGTTTTTAGCTATGTCACGTATTACATACGTCTTTTACCTAACCATTTTCTATGCTGCACAATCTAATATTTTTATTATTAAATTAAGGTTTTTGTCATTATGTAGATTTAATATTTTTCTAAATTATTTCTTAAATTTTTACCTGAACTCGGGAGGGGGAGGAGTATTAGGAGCTCCTAATAAATTGTAAAGAGATGTGAAATATTTTAAAATAGCAAAGGAATAATTAACAAAATATATAATGAATATTTTTTGTGACAAGAACCAAAATAAAATAACATCAATATTAGGAATTATTTAACTTGATTAAGCGATTAAAAAAACCAATCATCTTTCATTTAATCATATTTTATTATTAGTCAACACAAATATTTTATTAGTTGTTTAAATATTATCTAATTAATATAATAGTATATCATAAAATTTTTAAATGATGCAAGATAAACAAAAAATAATTAAAGTTAATTTTTCATTTAAAAATAAAAAGTTATTTATTCAAAAAAAAAATTATTTATTAATGAAATATATTTTAAATAGAATTGAAATTATCTGAGATAACATTTTATTTACAAAAATATTAAATAAATAAATAGTATTTTTTATACGAATTACAAATAAAGTAACTCACAAATAAAAAATTATACAACCTTAAAGAAGTTGTTTTATTTCTCAAATTACCTACTTATTTACTATTTTATTTAAACTTCGCTCAAATATTTTTTTATGGTCTATTCTTGGGAAAAAATGATAAAAAAAATATATTTTTCAATGTTTAAGTAGATACTTTTTTTTAGAAAAGTTACAACTCAATATTGACTTATAACTTAGGTTTCAATAAAATTATAAAAACAAATTGTATTTTTCTTAACGTTCAAAAATAGTATCTAATTTCTAATTTTATTTTTAAATATAAAACTCATACAATTGGGTATGAAATTTTCCTAATAAAATTTGGGAAAATTTAATGATAAAGTATGTTTTTGGGAAAAAAATAGGTTTGTTTTTAAAATGTATTTTTTATTAATTTTTTATTTAGAGAGAGATTCTTTATACAGAGAGTGTGATATTTTATGGTTAAGGGTTTTAATTATTAATTAATTTATTATATATAAGTATATAACCATAAGTTGCTCAAGTTTTTTCTGGAATTGATTTTAATTAATTTCTCAAGTTAAAGAAAAAATATCATTACTATTAACAGATCAAGCGCCAAGGATATTTTACTAAGACTTCTTTCTGGACAAAAATTTGTTTCATGTTATACTCCCTACTAATACATATCATCTATGATTTTTCTGTCGGAAGTGAGCAAAAAGTATAGCGCACACCATAGTGTGAACACCACCGATATGGCGCTGAACCTGTTAATCTTAGTCGTATAACAAACTGTCAATACCTAGTCTGATATAAACTAATTTGTTAAATTAACTATTCGAATAAAAAAATAACTTATGTATAATCTTCATCTGGTTAACTAATTTTTTTCAATAAAGACGCTGTCACAATATTAAAAAAACGACACTTATTTACTAAAGTCAAAAAATACTTCTTTTTAAATAGCGCTTCAAAATAGTTGTTAAGATTTTGTACAAGGCAACTTCCTGAATTTAGCTTGCTAACCGTGCGTTGATGCAATGCGAGTTGCGACAGCAAGATTGCATTATCTGTGGGTATGCAGCCGCAAGTATATGAAATGGCATTTCGCATAAGCGTTAGCGTTTTTTCCTAATATTATCTGCTGTAATTCAGAATATTTTTTCTATTTATAAAAAAAAGTTGAAAATAAAAATTATGGGTAACACCATTCTGCAAAAAATGTTAATCTGTCCGTTGATAAGAGTGATAGCTTATCACACATTGTGATAGTAAACAATATCAATAATAATTTCTTATCTATCTATTATCTACAAAATCTACCAAGGGCTATTATTATTGTTGAGATTTTATTTGTATTTTGTTGTACAGCAGAACGCTGAACGCACTACAGTCACGAGTTACCGTTGTTGTTGAGATTAAATGTTAATATTTGAAAAAACATGAATACGTTTTTTAACATTAAAAAGTGTAAAAAATATTGCTGACGAGGTTTTTATTTTCACCAATCCATTAGTGTATGACTTGTGGTAAAGAATATTTACCATGGACGAACACAGCACAATGGACCTTGTCGAAAGCAGTGACGACGATAGTCAGTCGTCAAAAATGTTAACCGTCGAAGAGATGCTTTTGGGTAAAGGTAGACAGGAGAAATCGTTGGGAAACTTAGCGACAAAATTTGCAGATCTCCTGAGAAATTCTCCTGATGGAGTGATGCACTTGAATAAAGTAAGATAAAGTAGTTTAATCAACCATTGGTTTATCAACGTTAGCTTTTGCCAAGGGAAAACGTTTTGAACATTTAATCAAACAATGTTTCCGGTTCAACATAGAACAAATTTCACATCGTAATTATAAATTTTAATGAAATTATAAGAAATGTTTCCTATATAAAAATATTATCCCGGTCATTTTTTTACTCCAAGACAGACTTATGTGGTAGGCCTATTTATCAATTGGTTAAAATCTTCATATGGTTTTCTTTGTTATTTTCTATCAAAATATGTATTTGTGGTCATTCTTGCCAGTTAGCTTAATATTTAGGTATATTTTTTAATTAATATTGTCAATCTAAACTTGGTTTTAAGCTTAACAGATAAGAACAACCATTTATCATTACATCTTCGATAATGAAAAAAATACAATACATAATTTTAATTAACAATTTCATACATTTTCTTTATTAAATTTTGATTTGCCTTGATCATAAAAAGCATGGTTTGATTTAGCTGAAAAGAGTCTACTCGACTAAACTGTTCATTTACTGATGGTGTATTCATTTTCAGGCTACAGCGATGCTAGCTGTAAAACAAAAAAGAAGAATATATGATATAACAAATGTACTGGAAGGTATTGGATTAATCGAGAAAAAAACCAAAAACCAAGTTCGATGGAGGCAAGTGAAATACAATAAAGTTTCATCAGCGTAATTATTCATAAAATAAATTTTTTTTTTCAGAGGAGTGGAAACGAGCGAAGATGAAAAAACTGCCGAAATGAGATCAAAACTTCAAGATGAAATACAAACCCTCAAATGGCAAGAAGACATATTAGATAAGCAATTAGAGGTATATTTCTCAGTGATCAGGGTCTAATACCCAGTGGAGGCGAACCTACTCCTCAGGGGGGGGCTACGGCCCCCCTGTTATAGAGTGGTGGTGGGAGGAAAGGTAGGCCGGTGGGCCATGAAAATAAACTCGACGATGCTTTTTTTACATAACCTAACCTTGAAGGGGGTGTCTGTAATATTTTTTTGCCCCTCCTACTACATTTTAGTTCAGGGCCACTGCTTATACCTTACCAACTCGCTTTGGTGTTCCTTTCGGAACCAAAAAAATATTTTATTTATTATTTCAATACTTGCTTACTTTGATAACTATACATATCATGTGTAAATATTATGTATGTATTTTATTTTTTTTATAGATTCTCACCCGTGACTTCAAAGTGCTCAAAGAAGAAAAGTCGTTTTCTCGTTACATGTATTTATTAAGTAGTGAAATATCCAACAAGCAAGAAAAACGATCAGTGTTCACTGTACAACCGATGGAAGCTCTCAGAGGCGCCAGTATTTCTATACCTAGAACTAAATTCCATGAAAACTATAATATGAAATCACATGCCAATAGCATGCCGTTTAGAATAAACTTAAATTCCAAAAACGTGCCAGTCATTATGAACCTTATATCTTTTAAAGCATTTGGTCAATTTGAGGTAATTTTCATTGTTGAATAGTGAATACATAGGTGACGTTTAATAAGCTATTTCGTGCAATATACCAAATGTGTTTTATATTTATTGGTATTGATAATGCCTTTGTTTTCCCCTAAATTAAATATTATAAATTTCCATGAATTAACCAAACAATAGATTGGATTAAATGCCAAAAGCGTAAATTGTCACTGTGTAAAAAAAAAAAAAGTGTTTTTTAAAAATAAACAGAATAATTTTATTTTTATCTTTTTGAAAATTTCAAAAATATTAACATTACAAAATATATAATTGGTTTGTTATTACTGATTTGTTGAAATAAGTTTGTTAAACATTTTCTGAATTTGAAACAAACTGTACTTCATCTAAGTATTCTTCTAAACCTAACTTGTACAAAAAACAAGTATATTTTATTACAACTCACAATGTAAATACTTGGTAAACATAAAAATACAAAATTCAACTAAATGCCAAATAGGTAACCAAATTCACCAAGCTCGGTTCAATTTTATTTCTAACAGTTTTTCACATCACTCGGTTTATGTTATTATTATCAACTTTTTTTGATTTTAGAAAAAAAGAAACATAAAAGACCTGACGAACAAAACGACAAAACTCTCTCGACGAGAAGGTTCTATCGATGTGCATACTAGCATTACGCAAAGTATGATTCAAAGTTTGGTAATTTTATTTAAGCATAATTAATTGTCAATGTTATTTTTTAGTAACTGAAGAAACAGAACTAGAAGAAGTAATAGTATTAAACAAAGAAGGCAAACAAGTTGAAAAAAATCTAGGTATGGTTTTTTTCTAATTATATGATAACGTAAATATGTTGGATGTTTATTTTAAGCGATTACCAATAAGAATAACTGTTATTGATTGTTGTAGGAAACATGATTCTATACAATTTAATCAATGATTATCATACTATATTTTAGCATGGCTTAAAAAAATGTATTATTAAAAAAAAATTGTAATTTTTTAAAAACATTTTAGATGCTGAAAGAACTACAAAAGATTCTCAAACAGTAAAAGGTAATAAATCTAGTACAATTATATATTTATTTATTATGAAATTGACAGTTACAACTCAAAAGGGCCTAAGCGACATGGCATAGATAATAAAATAGCCATCTAGATGAGATATTAGGTATTAAAAATATATATATATATCATTTAAACTGGGTAATATACGGTACTAATTTTAACTGTTTTAATAAAAAAATTGTTTCACTTTTCCTCTTAATTTTACTTTTTGAACTCGTTATTCAATAATTTATCATTATAGTATGTTTTTAAATTAAATATATTAGGTTGTCGATTGTCTTTATAATATACATACACATATTATAAAAAATGTAATTACTTAGCCAAAACGAAGTGGAATCGAAACAGTAATTTTTTACACCTATCGTCATCAATAGGGACCGTTGTATGTAAATTGAGCATGACAAATGTTGTATTATACTACTAAAAAATTTTCAGTTTTAGACTGGAATTTCTTTTCTAAATTTAAACACTCAAAAACTTTAATTTAGCTATAGTTAAACTTCTCCCGTTGAATAATTTTTCAAAGCTGATTTTAACATTTTTGGTCATCTTAAAAATCATAAAAAAATGTCGCTGTAGTCCCTTTTAGACGTTATGTAACCATCAATGATATTAAAGTTATCATACCATATATTATTATCATAATTAACTTTGTTGATTGAATACTAACAATAAAAATATTGATTATGATTTTAGTTCCTCCTCGCTACGATCCGATTTATAGGCTCAGTCCTCCGCCATCAGAGAATACTTTTCGGTATCTAATTGACCCTTCAGAAGGCGCTTTTGAAGCATTTGATATTTCGCCCATAAAGCAAGTGATAATATAAATTATTTATTCAAAAGTTAACTATGGGACTTTGAAAAGATACATACATATATCTAATATGCGTTCACCTTCAGCGTTGATGAATTTATAAAATTGTCCCTTTAATATTATACGATAAACTTAGTAATTATACAAACTTGAATTAATCTTTTTTGGAATTTGTGCTATATTATATTATCTATATTAGATATATATATTGTTAACAGAATAGTATTTCTTGGTTGATATATTTTAACAAGCTATATGACCTAAACGTATACTTATCAAAATTGTTTTGTAAGTAATAACTTTAAAAAAAAGTAACTGTAAACACCCTTAAGTAAAACATTTGTATTTTTTTATACTATAAAAAAATATTACTTATTTATATATATATATTAATTTTAACTATTACTGTAATTTAATACATGTACGTTAATAGTATACATTTTTAAGAAAGATGTGTACTTAATTTTTTTTTTTATGTAGCATTTTTAAAAATTACAATTTACCATTACAGTACTAAATTTGTATTGTTATAATATGTGTATACAAAAATAAAGATTATTTATTTTTTATACTTGGCATTTTTACTTGAACCTGAAGAGAGGACTCTCAAAAAAGAAACTTTGTTCCAAAAACCAATTCTACACTTTGAAAATTAATAAACAGAAATAACAATATAATTAAAATAAAGCATTTTTTTACAACTTTTAGGTAAGTATAGTTCAAATTCAAAATATTTTACAATAATTGAAAACAAATTTATAAAATCGTTATTTTAAATTTCTTGTTTTAAAAAATGTGAAGTAAATTGTAGAATGTTTAACTAAAATTGGTAAAAGTTACAATTTATAACTAGGGTCTAGGTTTAGACAACAAGAAAACACTAATGATAACAATTAGCAAAATTGTTTAAACCTAATTTAATCAAACATATTATTATACTTATATATTATGTTAGGTTGAATTACATAAGCATTATAGCAAAACTAAAAGAGCAAAGTATGTTATATAATATAATTATAGTTAGGCGACTTCTTGTGATCCTCCTATTTCATATGGAAATGATAATTCAGAATAACGTCAAATGGGATTATTATAAATATTTATGCATTTAAAAGTTCATAAAACATAAAAACAAGAAAATTTGTATTTCTTTAAATTACCTTCAAAGTTGTGAACAACCTACAAATAAAAAAAAATCGTAAAATTATAATTGGCTAATGTTTATATTAAATAAAGGTCAAATCACATTTTTACATGTTTTTCTTTAACTCGCTAACCCGTACATACGTTTAAAAACATTCTTCTTCTTCTAAAAGATAGTAAAAATTAAAAAATTATTTTACTACAAGAACAATTATTTAGGTATTAATAAATTGTAGCACATTCTTTTTTAAATGACGATTACTTTGAAAACAACCAAAAATTAACTACAATTGTAAATAATGTTAAACATCTTTAATTTTTGACCAAAAAAAAAAAAGCGTGGGCCCTAATCAACAAAGTCCAAATTCATTGAGTTAAGTATTATGAAATGTATTATCAAATTTAAATTACAAAAAAACTTACAATATAAAACATTATCTGAAATTTTATCGGACAAATGTATGAGGCATTTTGTTAATAGGGCCCACGCTTTTTCTTTTTTGTCAAAAATTAAAGATGTTTAACATTATTTAAAATTGTAGTTAATTTTTGGTCGTTTTCAAAGTAATTGACATTTTTTAAAAAAAATGTGCTTTAATTGATTTATAAATTCTTCGTGTGGTAAAATTATTTTTTACGTCTTTTTAATTCATTTTTTTTTTTACTATATTTTAGAAATAAGCATGTTTTTAATCAAGTTTTTTTTCTATTTTTTACTTTTTAGTGCAATGTGTAATTTAAACATTTTTCCTATCAATTTTATAATGTCATATTGATAATTCGTTTATTTATACCCACCTGATCAAAACAAACAAAACCCCGCCCTCCTCCCTCGTAAATTCAATTAAAATCAAACGTGTATTACTTTTGTGAATTGTTATTTGTACCTAATTGTATTATACCCAATATATAAAGAGGCCATAATTTTGAAATGCGTCACTATTATTAATGCGTAGTGCTAACCGAATGTAAATAATATATTTCATGTTTTGATCCGTCGGTATACACATACGTTTATAAAAAAAATAGTCAACGATTGACACACGTCATCGCTGTTGTCAATTTTCGAACAATATTTCAGTTGTTTTTTTTTTTTGTATTTAGGTTTTGTTAACTTTGTAACTTTTACATTAGACAGATGTTACATGTGGTTAAAGTGTAGTTTTGCGCGTTATTTAAGAAAATCGTTTTCTTTAACTGACATTCGATGAAATAAAATATAGATTTGCTAACTATCGGGATTAGTTTTAATAAACGTCAATTGTTATATAAATCATTGAAATATTCAATTTAAAGCTTGAATTTAAAACAAAATTAGTACACATAAAAACAAACACACCGAACAGGGTTGGGCGCAATTCGAATAAATGTTTATTTTATTTAATTTACGAATAAGAAATTACTAATTAAAACTACTTGTCGTTTAATTAGTAATTAAATTAGCTACACGTGCGTTTATAAATTGTCTATTGCTATTTTGTAAGCGGTTTGAACTTAACGATTAAAAATGTACACAAAAAATCATTTTTTGATGAATACCAAATAGTACCTACAGTGTAAAAAAAATATAAGAAAAGCCTGAGATTCGAAATTCAATGTTGTCTTTGTTTTTTTTGTATACAATAAGTTATATTTAGTCGTCAATTAGTCATTTTTATTCTATAACACTATTAGGTTTTATTTCATTGTATGGTATGTGTGTGTTAAATGTTGTTTTCGTCTACCTGCATAATTATTCATAAACTTATATTTATATGGACCCATTTATTTGTATATAAAAACAATGAAATTATGTCAGGTACATATTCCATAATTTGTAGGATAATATATGTATTATATATGTACAATGAGGTCAGGGGTCACGAATTGGCGTCATTTAATAAAATACTTAGTTGTCTATTTGTCTGTCACACGCGAATAATTCATTAAAAAAAATCTTATCAAACTTCCCATAGAACGATGAAAATTTGTTAAGAAATGTTTGTTTACTAATTAAGACACAATATATTACAAATATACCTATGTAAGACCTATGTATGTTTTTTTTCAAAAAAAAGTATGTTTAAATTCTTCTATTTTATACTTTCGTAGAATAGCGGCCCTAATGTTGAATCGAGTCTTTGTTTTTAAAAGTTTCCCGGGCAATGAGAAAGAAATTTTTAAAGAGGAAAACTTCATACAGCCCACGCATTTATCTTGAATTTGTCGTTTACCATTAATAATTGAGGCGCCTAGAACACAAGGGGTGTATTTAATGATTTCGAGAAAATCAAGCTCAAAGTTTACATACGGATGGCAGTTTCGTTTGGGGGTTAGGTGATTTGCCACCAAATCGCAGCACATAATGAATAATTCACTTATATACCTTTACAACCATATAAAATAGACAATTTATAGTTCAGCGGTGGCCATAACTCAGATTTGGTAAAAATGTCACTTATACCTGTTGTGTTCTAGGCGCTTCAATTTCAAACATTGAGTGTAGAAAAAGAGTTGTTCTATTTTTTCTTATCGCTAATGGCGCATATAGAAATAGAATTTTTCAAATCGGGGGGTCAATTCCATTGCAAAAAAAAATGTCCACAAAAGTGAAAATAAAAAGAGGTGTTGTTTTAATTTGTTGTTTCACATAAAGATGTTATTTGTTAAAATGTTTACCCTCGACTAATTTTTTTGCGTACTCGAAAATGTATCCAACGGGTGAGATTTCTGATCTATAGACTTGCTAGCAACTTATGTTTACTCTTTATTATAATATAATTATAGGTATCTAACAATTTGAAATAAATTCAAATTGTCGTAGTGAAAATACAGGTTGTGTTGGTTTCACACGGAATGCGCTTCATAGCAACGGCGAATTCTATTACACAACACAAATCATATCAAATATAAAGATTCGTTAATTATCAAACTCAGGTGCGCTTTCCGCGCGCGGTGTGACTTTGTACGCGATGAGTAAAGTCTGTGAACAATGCGTTATAATAACATGTAATAACTTATATTTAAACAATAGCTGTTGAATATACGAAAGTAGTAAAAGCTGTGGTATGATATCTTTTAATTTTTTTAACCACGTTGGTAACCGGTAACGGACATAATCACTATACCGATCGCCCAATTATTTCGGTGTTCTCCCTGGTGACCTCGGTCCGAATTTGTTATCAGTCAGCTGTTGTGTATACCGAATCGAATATTAATCACATCTGTTGACGTCATTGTATTGATTGCGCTTTGTGATAAACTTGTAGTAGTGTTTGAATAATTTAATTACTGATCAAAAACTAATGGATAATCAATTAGCTTAAGTGTCTGTTTTTATTGTTTGATTTTACTCGTATTTGTTGAATTTATTTACTCTGTTCAAAATGGTCCAAGAATATCAATCGCCGGTGCGCGTGTACAAATATCCCTTCGAAATCGTAATGGCCGTAAGTATTAAAATATTTTTATTTTATATAGCAATATTATTATAATTATTTCCCACAAAATGAATTACCTATATGTTTTAAGTAAGCATATATACGATCGTGTTTCTATAATAATTACAAAACAACTTAGAGATATTTATACATTTTTTTTTCTAAATCTGATGACCAAAAAAATAGTGAATTATGTATGATTAAACTTTAAACACTTTCCAGGCGTACGAAATGAGGTTTCCGACGTCCCATCTAATACCAGTGTTTGTCGGAAGCGAAGTGACATCTGATTGTACCTCAAGTGACGGTGCTATCAGGACGACCGAACGAAGATGTAAACTCGTAGTCGAAGCACCTTACCTAATAAAAAAAGTAAACTTTTATTTGGCATTTCATTTTTGTCGTCGATTAATATAATATATACATATTTTCAAACAGATTATCGGAGTAGATTTTGTTTATTTTATCCAAAAAAATATTTTGGATTGGAGAGAGCGATGTTTGAATATAGAAGCGACTAACGAGACATTTTCCAATCGTGTCAATGTAATAGAAAAATGTCGGTACTATGTAAGTTGTGAAACGTACAAAATCTATGATATTTTACAACATTTTATTGATTATATTTTTATTGAAGGTTCATCCGGAAAATCCAGAATGGACTTGTTATGAGCAAAGTGCTTTGCTAGATATAAAATATTTTTTGGGTTTTGAACACACTATGGAAAAACTTGGCATGAAACAATATATACAAAATATTTCCAAAGGTAAAGAAATTATAGAGTATTACATTGAAGAATTGAGAAAAGAAGGAATAACTACTGTTCCTCGTTGGGTGCCCAATGGAGGTGATCAAACAAAGTAAGTCAACTTATCTATAATGACAATTTATCAAACTTTATCATATTTAAACTTTTATTTTAGTGTGAAGTTATCTGAAGTAAACCAAACCAGTCTTAGCAAAGACAGTCCGACAAATTCAGGTAAGAACTATGAAATTCTATTGAAATATACAAGGCAAGATAGTAAAATAACAAATACAATATTTATAAATGTATTTAAAATCGCTTGTTTAATTGAAAAATATCAAAGTTTGACGCTGTTGAATTTACGATTATATTTTGAAAGACTAATAGAAATTAAAAAAAATAATAATTTAAAATAATTAGAAATTTAAACAAGTAACAAATAATAAAAAAAAAAAAGTATAATATTCATAAATAATAAATAGTTTGATTGAATAATGACTAACTAATAACAAAATATAATGTTTTTCATAAAAATTTAATAATTAAAAGATAATTTGTTATTTATCACTATGTAGATAGCAAATTATTCAAATATTGCCCAACTCTATTTTAAACCACTCATCACATATTGATATTGGTCAATACTAGTTATAGCAGTGTTTTTAATTTGCCAAATTAGTTTTTATTGCACAATTGTATAATTTACAATAATAGTTTCTAACATAATGTAATATGATTGTCTTCATTACTTTTTTCATGTATTTCAACTTTTTTTTTTAAATCAGTCTGTAACTATTTCGTTTTATTGGTTTTTTTTAGATTCACAATCAAAAATATGGTTAGAAGATGAATATATCAAAAGGTACATCGGAGAATTGACACCATTTCAAGAATCAAAACTTGTTCAGTTCAAAAAGCAACTATCCCAATTGCAAAAATCCAAAGTAAGATATTTCTTTTTTTTTATAACTCATTAAATATGTTTGAAAACCCGTTTTTTTTTTAGTTGCCTAGTGACACAACGCTATTACGATTTTTACGGGCTACCGATTTCAATATTGAAAAAGCCAGGGAAAACTTGTTGCAGTCGCTTACGTGGCGTAAAAAGCATAATATTGACAATATTTTATCAGAACATGAGTTTCCCGAGGCAATTAAAAAATATTTCCCTTGTGGTTGGCATTACCATGACAAAGGTAAAACAGTTGTGTTTTTTTATTTGCTTAAAAAACCCATGACCTGTTCTACGAAATAACTGGACGGTTTTATGCGTGTGACATTTGTCGTAGGGTCCAATCAATTTCAGTTTCTGCATAGTTCTGTTGTCTCGTAGAACATAGTTCAAGTTTGGTTTCCATTAATGGAAAATCAAAATGTTCTACTTAAGGACTAATTTTTTATTTGTTTTTAATTTCATAGAAGGACGACCTTTATATATTTTAAGGTTAGGACAAATGGATGTTAAAGGTCTACTTAAATCTGTTGGCGAAGACTGTCTACTGAAACAAGTAATTATAACATATTTTCAAATTGTTACAAAACTGCAGTAGTTGTAAAAACAATATCCTTCTCAGCTCCGCATCAAAGCTAACATTATGTTAGCAATAATTATTATTATTTCTGCTTAGGCCATGCACATATGTGAAGAAGGTCTAAAGTTAACAAAAGAAGCTACTCATACGTCTGGCAAGCCAATCACTACTTGGTGTCTGTTAGTCGATTTAGAAGGGTTAAACATGAGACACTTGTGGCGACCCGGCGTAAGCGCTTTACTTAGAATAATTGAAATTGTCGAAACAAATTATCCGGAAACGCTGGGTCGAGTGCTTATCATTCGTGCACCTCGTGTGTTTCCTGTTTTGTGGACGTTAGTGAGCACGTTTATAAGTAAGAAAAAAATAAGTCGTCGACAGCATTATATAATATTTATTAATTAATAATAACATTAAAACGATTTTATAATTGACAATTGTCTTCATTCAGACGAAACTACTCGTACCAAGTTCCTATTCTATGGAGGCAACGACTATCAAGCTTCTGGCGGTCTGGGTGAGTTTATTTCACCCGACAATATGCCAGATTTTATGGGAGGCAACTGCATAGTAAGTTACCTGTTTGAATATAACAAATATGATTATTGTTTTTCAAGTTGTAAATTTATTTTTAATATTAAATAATTCAAGGCCAAAATTCCTGAGGGAGGTTTCGTACCAAAAAGTCTATATTTAAAAGAGGGAGAATTGGAAAAAGAAACTTGTACGATTACTGACGAAAGTATATATGAATCTGTATCGCTTACCAAAGGCCAGGTAATAATGATTTTATAACTTAAGCGTTATGTTTGGATTATTATTTTAAATATATATATATATATTTTTTTTTTCAAGTCTCATGAAGTATTTATCGAAGTCGAAGAATCTGGATCAGTAATTACGTGGGATTTTGATGTAATCAGGCAAGATATTGTTTTTAACGTTATAAGGTTACTTATCGAAGTCCAACCATCGACGCTGCTTAGTTGTGCTAAAGGTAAGCTGCCGAGCAATTGTTGAAGGATATTTCACTGTGTACAAATGTTTATGAAATCCCATTTGGTATTCATTTTTCAAGGTAACCTCAATGCTATGGAAAAAGGGTGGAAAGAAGGCGAACATTTTGAAAAAGTTGAACAGACTGTTATATGCCATGACGGCGAGAGTATTCAAGGTTCGCATCTCGTTACTAATAGAGGTACGTACGTGTTACAATGGTGTTGGCCGTCGGAAAACGTTGTGGCCAGTTCAGGACATCACACTAAGGCCAAAATCATGTACTACTATGAAATGTTAAAATCGGCCGATTATCGGTAAGTAAATTGGCTTTTTTTCAAAACATTTTTAAAGCTGGCTTATGTTTTAAAAATTAATTTCGTTAATTGTATTTCGGCTTAGAATACTGTCCAAAAAATTAATGTAATGCGAAAAATAAAACTTATTTCAAAAAACTCATTATTTTCAACTAATTGGTTATCATTTACAAATTATTTTCAAGTAACTCGTTAAATTGCAAAAATTGTTGGGAAAAGTGAATTTTTAATTATTTTACCTAACTTGACATTGTCTAGCTTTGAAAATGTTTATTATTTAGAAGACTATTGTATTAAAAACATTGTATGTTTGTTATGATTCAGTGGTTCCATGACGAGTTTAATGTCGGCCAACAGCAAATTTTCTAGTCTTAGCAACAGATGATAAGAACACAATATAGATTTATTGAATTATAAATTATATACATAGGTTTTTACCAAAAATTCGAAAAATTAGAATATAGAGAATCCCAAAAACGAATTTAGAACTAGCAAAAAAAAAAAAACCTATAGAAATTTATTATTTAATAAACCTTTTTTGGTATTCATATATTTATTTGTTACTATTTGTGCCTCGCTATGATGCATTTATTTGTTTTTTGTTCATTTTATTGTAATATATTATTTTTTATTACTATTTAGCCATATATATATTTAATTAATTAGATAACTACGACAAAACTAGCCATTGTCGAGTTACCAATAATTAAAGCAAAATATCACTTGGAAAAAAAAAATGTATTGAGTCGTTGTGAGTTCACTAAAATTTGTATTTGGTGTAAAAACATGCACTAGCGATTTATTGTGTGGTCCTTTGAGTTGTGTAATCTCATATAATGTAATTTATTAAATCTGTTATCTCTTACTATTATCTAATTATTATATTGTCCGCCTCTAGTTAGGTTTTATTCGTTTTTAGTCAATTTTTTTTTTATCGAGCAATGTGATCTGATAACGTTTGGTTCGGACCTTATTAATAGCAAATAGATATATGTATTATATTATTAATGTTTGCCGATAGATCTAAATTAATATTTTCATAGTTGACTACATGGAATTTTGGTCAATTGTTTTTCTTGTATAATCTTTTATTTATATACATTTTTTTTCCTGTGATCAAACCACGTTTTATGATTTTAATCTACCCTCCCCCAACATTATACCTAATTATTTGTTTATTATAATCTAATTATTTTTATGATTTTTCTTCTTCTCTGGTTGCTGTTAATAATTAATAAATTGATTTAGCAAAATAAATTTGATTTAAAAACAAATATATAGCATGTTTTGTGTTGTTTGTTATAATATTGTGTAACTGATGTCAATTGAATTGTACGTATTTATATTATTGGTACAAATTTTAGTATTGTCATTAATAATTACAACTTACAAGTAATACCTACTGTACATGTTGGTTGATTATAAAATAATAATTATTATATTGCAAATTAGAAATTTAACTAATTTATTATTTATAATAAACACAATAATATTATATTAATCAACAATGCGTTTTCAAATTATTATGTTGTCCGTTATGTGCCTATTACCCGATGGATTCTTACTATCAGTAATCGTACTCAAATAGTACTTTATAAGGCCAAAAATAACACTGTACTAACAAAATCGGAAAAAATGTAAAAATTACTATAAATACATTTTTTTTTTTAATTTCTAAGTTGAGAATTATCTACTGAAAATATTTTTTAGTCGATTGGGAAATCCATAATATTGTTTAAAAAATGAATAAAAATATTTTCCAAAAAAAAAGAAAACTAAAAAGTTATGGGTCTTTAGTTAAATTACACACCTGTATTAATAAAAAAAAATGAATTTTTCAACAGAACCAAAAAATTGCTCGTTTTGTACCTAATTACTTATTATATTATGTAAAATGTGCTTTTTTTTATTATTATGGCACTCAAGTCCTTCGGATAGAGCCGCTGGTCGTTTGCTTACTACTTTCATTAGGTATACATAGTTATGTATAAAAACTGGCGTAGCTCATAAAACTATTTTTTAATTTTTTTTTGTTTTACTTAATAGTGTTAATTGTAAATTCCTCGCAAATGCAAAAAAACTGTTTATACGGTTTATATTGATTCATTGAAACTTGGACTAAATTAGACTATTTAAAAAAATTATGAATATTTTGAATATATTATATATATATTATTCTAAAAATAAATTATAAAAACAGAAGTGTAAAATTAGTTAAATTTCTTGTTATTTATGGTCAGTTTAATGACGTTTGTTAAATGAACAATTCAATTCAAACAATATGCATGCAAAATTATTGAACTCGTTTAAAAAATTATTATTGAGTAGGTCGTATTAAAATTTGTAATTAAAAAATTAATTAATATAAAAAGAGAGAAAAAATTGTTTTCAACAAAACTTGGTTTAAAAACAGTTGTTGGTAAACACAACAGTACCTATTTGGTCGTTTAAAAACTGTTGTTCGACTTTTTACTACGCTATTGCTTAGGTACATGTTTTTCTACTTTCGATGTAACCTTTAACTACGCTACATAAATAGGATATTTACAGGTTTTTTTTTTTTAAATAAACACATCAATCAGCTATGTTATTATGTATACAAATGTTTTCAATTTAAATGACTCGTGTATCGTCAATCGTATTTTTCTGCATAAAAAAAAAGTTTGTTTTTTTAGCAAAACACACAGCTTAGGTATAATATTCAATCGTATTTGGTGTTATGTCAATTTGAAAAAAAACAACAAATCGTGTGCTGAAGTACGTCGAAATAAAATATATATTTTAGAATTTAATTTTAAGAAAATAGATATCATGTAAAATAAGTACCTACTTAAATGAATTCCCATCCTCGGGATTAAGCTTATTATTTTTTTTTTAATTTATCAAGAGTTATGAAAAAAAAAAATCAAAATTACTAACAGCAATTTATATATAGTTCTGGTGGTTGTACCATACCATTATAAAAGGTTGACCGAGATCGTTTGTTATAGCTAAAGACTAAAATGTTATTACAAAATAGAATTTCTGGGCAATCTAGGTATTCCATTGTTTAATAATTTATAAAAAAAAAATGTCATTTTAAAATCTTGGTTTAGAGAATTAAGATATCTAAAGAGATATAAATATACAACAGGTATAGTTTTTTTTGTCAATTATTTATTTTCATCTAAAGTTTTTTAGGGGATGGAGAGGTCACGATAGTATTTCAGACATTTAGCAGACTGGCCTATTAGAGAATCCAAAATTTTATTTTTTTTTTAATATTGGTTTTTTAGTTTTAATTTCTAAGAATTTGCATCTTCCAACAATGTAATGATCATATTTTTTCGACGTCTCTTGACTGTAGAAGCGACCTGAGAATCAAATACACCTACGGTCAAAATGTGATTTTTTTGGTTAATTTTTCTAATAAAAAAAAAGTTTTACTACAGATTTGTAAGAAAATTAGGTCTTGTTTCATTAAACATTTCAGATGTTCTATAAGAAAGTGATTTAAAGAAGTGTTATAAGAAGTGAGTTATAGAAAGTGTTTTTGGTTTGTCAATGTATACCGCTAGTACTGTATACTTAAAGAGTATTCTACATGAACGCCGTAGGTAATCTCAAGTTGAAAAATATGTACATTTTTTGGGCGTTTTTTCGACTTTGAATGGGAAGGGGTGAACTTTTAAATTTTTGGAATAATAAAAGTACAGTTCAGTTACGTTTTCTGTTCTATAGAGTTGCTATAGGTACATGTAACATGGGAAATCGGTTCAGCGGTTTAGTAGATTTCGCGTATCCAGACCAAAATACCTTTTCTGCACCGGATCGAAGCTAAAAGGATAAATAAATCATTAACAACAAAAACGTTTTATTAAAAGTACCAAGTATGTAGTTGATGGATTCGCTCTTAAGCAGAGCACGTTGTCGTTATTATGGACGCCAACCAACGTCATGATATATAAACAAACTCGTTTCTTCCATGACCGTTTCGGCGGCGGCAATACTAGCCGGCGACCATTTTGTTTTTGCTTTGAAAAACATGTACCGCCGCACGCCTACGAATGGCGGTGCAGAGCGACAGGTACGACCGTGACGGCGGTCGGCGGCCCGCGCACAATCGGTCCCGGTGACGTCACGATGGCTGCCGGCGTAGACGCCGGGCCGCGTGACGTCAGACTGTGCGCGCACAAATCGCGGTGGCGCTACGAGCGCGCCCGACCGGTGCCGTACCCGGGCTTCGTACGCGGTCGGCGTCGGCCGGCGACGAGGCCCAGGCCCCAGCTCAGTGGAGTACAACGACAGAGTAGGTGAACATCAGGCAGGAGTTCGCGTTGGGGTAATTTTTTCCATCTTTAACATCCATCGTTCGGCCACCGTCTTAACAACTTAATGGCGGAACAAGTTGGCGGAGAGAGGAGGACGGAGCGGCAAAAGTCCGTCACTCAAAAGCCGGTCATATGTAAGTACCTAAGTTTAAACGCGACCAATATTATTCTGCCTACACGTTTGTGCGTACATACTGCATACACACGCACTCGGCCGTCGGCACAATGGTCGTCGCCATTGGAATATTCGACTCTCGTGCTGTTCGTGCCCCGGGTTTTTCGTCGCTGTTCGTCTCGCGGTCTAACATGGCCCGTTAATAACAATAATAACAATAACAATAATAAAAACAAATTACGCGGGCTTAACGAGCGATAGCGGGTAATAGCAGTTGAGACGCCGCCGCCGCCGCCGGTTTTTCGCACCGTTTTCCCCCCGCACGAGCATCAAAAACGCGTTTTGTCTCCCGCCGTCGCCCGTCTCTATGGACTATGCCGGCGGCCTGTGCACGGGTGTCGCAGTTCGCACACTTGTGTTTGCTCTCGTTCGACAATCATTATAACGTTTAAAAAATATATGTATACATATATATTTTTTTTGTAAGAAATTAAATAATTCTTGATTATACATCAAAACCCGGAAAATGTATTTTTTTGTTTAAATGCTCATTCACGTTCGCTGTAATAGTATAAAATTTGTTGTTTGTATTGTTTCGATCCGAAACGGTCATGTTATTATTATCGTCGTTGTTCATGTTATCGTTATTATTACCTATTTTTAGGTTAAAACAAAAAGTCTGAATACGAGAAAATGCACTAATAAAAAAAAATTACCAAAATAGGTAAACGAGATCCCTGTTTCTGTCGCAAACCAAAAAAAGAGCCCATCTGGTTTGTTTTGTTTAAGCCTAACCAATGTTTGATGTTTACTCAAAAATATGGAATTTATTGGATTTATGCATACCCAATAAAAAAAATAATCTGGATTAGTTTTTTTTTAAATCTGGTTATTACCATTTGTTTACTGTGAAAAGAACCTTAAAATATTTCAAGAATCAACAACTTTTTCGAGCACAATTTAAACTATGTTTTGTTGTATTATACAATTATATATCATTAGTAATATATTATTCGTTTAAAAATGGCCAACTAAAACTATTTTAAAGTTAGGTTGTATCGTTATAACATAACAGTATAGCATAAACCTCAAAATTAAATTAAAAAGAAGCTTAAACATTAAAACCGTTTTTACTACTCAAAAGTTATAAATATAGCATAAACCTCAAAATTAAATTAAAAAGAAGCTTAAACATTAAAACCGTTATTACTATTCAAAAGTTCTAAATCAGTTAAGCTGTATCAATATCGTAATGTTAATAATTTAAATCAACATTTGTTTGTTTTTATAACAATATCTTCTTCTTCTGGCCTATTAATACGGACCATTAATGTCCTTTGTCGCTTTGTTTTTTCTCTATAATAAGAAAAAATGTAGTATATTTTAAAATTACTATTGCAAATAACTAATATTTTTAAAAACATTTTTACATGTACATTTTGTTTATACTTTAAAAATATGATGATTAAAAATGTCATATTATTACACAGTGGTCATGTTTTTATTTGCATGGCTCTCTTTGTAAATTTAAAAATAGAAATTATTCTATTCCCATCTTACATTTGCAATGTTCCAATTTTCTGTTTTATTACCAATTAAAAAAAAATCTGCTTCTTCAATGTTTTTTGTATTTAAGTATGTATTTTAATATTTTGTTTTTCTTTTAGCTGTCAAAGTGACTGGAGTTGTAAAATGGTTCAACGTAAAGAGCGGCTATGGGTTCATCAATCGGTGAGTGTTCCTTAATTATCAATTTTGTTACAATATTTTTATTGTTTTTGTTTTCATTTATTTTAGTAACGACACAAAAGAAGATATTTTTGTCCATCAAGTAAGAATGTTGTTTATATTTTATTATAATACGATATTCTAGTTATATATTTTACCATAATCATTACTTAAACTTCGCTTGTTGGTGTGTTACTGTAGTCTGCTATAATCAAGAATAATCCGAAAAAAGTGGTTCGCAGCGTCGGTGATGGAGAAATAGTGGAGTTTGATGTGGTCGAGGGAGAAAAGGGCCATGAAGCAGCTAATGTAACTGGACCGGAAGGCGAACCTGTCAAGGGATCGCCGTACGCTGCCGAAAGGAGGAGAAACCCCTACCGTCAGTGGTTCTACAGAGGACGTCCTAATACCCGTCCGAGAAACGACAGACCTAGAGACGACAGTGCCAGCGGTATGTTGAAAAACACTCAAAATAGGAAAAATTATAATAATTATTTAATTTAAAAACTAGCTTATATTTTACAATATTATAATTGTGTAAAATAATAATACAATTAAAATATGACCGTTAGGTGAAAAAGAAGAAGGAGAAAACGAAGGAGGAGAACAACCTAGACGCGGCTATCGACAACCGCGTCAACAAAATTGGTATAACAGCTATCGTGGAAACCGAAGAGGAGGTCCGCCAAATAGAGGAGAAGGCGGGGGTGATTACAACGTGAGAATTATTTTTTTTATTATTATTAATTATATAATGTTCACTTTTGCCATTACGTAATATGAACATAACTGCATTTTTCTTTGTATTAGTTATTTCTATATTGACACATATGTATTTTGTTAGGGAGGTGAAAACTACGGTTATGATAACTCGCCACCGGGTAGAGGAAGAGGCCGTGGTATGGGTGCACCCAGACGCTATTTCCGTAGAGGAGGTGGTTTTAGAGGAGGTCGTGGCGGTCCTGGCGGTCCTCGTCGACCATACCAAGATGAAAATAATCAGGTTTGTTATTATTTTTTTTTTTTGTGTATGGTTGGTATTATAAGGAACTAAAGTTGATTTTTCTGGTTATCATATTGAAAATATTTTTTTTAATAAAATGTTGGTATATTATGTAGGATAACAATGAGTATAATCAGAATGATGATAATGGCGCCAACAGACCACGTCCGCGTTATCGTCGTCGCAACAACAGATCACGAGCAAGAAGTGATGGACCACCAAGAGGAAACAGTCCGAGTGACAATGAATCCAAACAAAAAGTGAGTTAACGACTGTTTTTAAGTTTAAACATTTATTTAAATAAAATAACTACTAAAAAATAAACCTTCATTTTTATTTGAACAAATTTAACAAAACAAAATAAATAACTATTAAAATAAATGATTAGTTTGAACTTTAATTATATACACTACTAAAAATAATAATTAAAGTTAAAACACTATTATATTTTAACTATAAAGTAGTCAAGTTAAATTTAATTTTTGAATGGATAACGCTCTGGAAAATATAAAAAAGGATAAATATTTGATAATTTTATAATATTGTGCACTAGCATAAAAATGTTCAAAAAAAAAAACCCCAATAAATTTGTAATTATTTTTCGAAATAAATAAGTTTGTTTTATGTTAAATTGATTACCCTATATTCGATTATGTAACAGTTGCTATCTGAAATAGTCATAACGAGAATTGCGTGTTTTGAAATTGAGAGAAAAAAATGTATAAATATCTTTTTTTTATCAGTGATTTGTTAAAAATTATATATTATACTTTTTTTTATAAACATAAATGATAAATCATCAAATAAGAACACAAGGCAATGGTTGTTATTTGTATTATAATATTGTCGGTTAAGGATCAGAGGAACATATTACCTAAAGCAAAAGATATTGATTTTCTATTTTCTCAAATTGTAAGTTTTAAGAATAACGTTGTCTTAACACTAAATTATACAAAAAAAAATAAACTTAATGCATAAAAAATAAACTTTTTTTGGTTTATACATTTCTCTGAATCTAGACCGATGATATATACTTATCTTATCTCTTATTGTCAGAAATAGTTTATATTAAAGTACGCTATCTCTTAAAAATTAAAAAAATAACCATTAATTGAATAAATAAAAAAGTTTTATAATTAATTTTACAGTTATAATAATACAACTTTCTTATGTTTGAAAACACATTGTAATAGGTGACTTAGTCACTTTTATTAAGAGCTTTAACCACTTCCAGCTCTTAACGTATGTAAATAGTGGTAAATCATAAATGTTGAAAAAATAATAATACTAATATAATGATTGTTTTTTTTCTCTAGAATTTTGGAGGTGAACCATTGGAACTTCAAGACCACAGCACAGCCTAACATCTGAATAATTTGCGAACAGTATATTTTTTTTTCATAGAATCTTGTTTTAATTTTCTCTTACGCATTTTGTGTTTTTCATGTAAATCTAATCTCGGACGTTTTATTTGTTCCATTCGCCACGACTTAAGGAGTTCTACAATAATCAATTTGATTAATTTGATTGCCTCTACATCTTCTGTATATATATATATATATCTGTATTTTCAATCCGACCAACAACTTATTCGGGTTGTCAATTTATTATCTTGCTTGATCTTGAATCTGTGAATCGTACATCTTTAAAAAGTATTTTGCATGATAATTTTTCCTCTTTTTTTTTTTTTTATAATCATCACAATTTTTTTTTTTATGAAACGTGTTGAATTACAACTGATGATAATATCGAGTTAATAAAATTTAGACGAGCAATTTGTGTGCATGAGTTAAACAAAATATATATTATATTTTGTATAAATTTGTTTATATATTTATATATAAATCTATGCAATTTTTTGTTTTATTTATTAAACCAGTGCCTATAACAACTATTGAAAGATATCTAAAAAAAATCCCTAATGAAGTACATACTGAGTTGTGTAATGTATACTAATTTTTTTTTTTATCTGTAATACAAGTTTATTTCGGAAAACGTTGAGGAAAGAAGTGAAATTATTACCTGTAGATATATAATAAAAAAAAAAAAATTCTTTTTTAAGTGTCCATATTTTTTTAAGAATTGAGTAGTAAAGACGATATTTTTTTTAGGATAAAAAATGAATACTGTGTATTTCGATTGTTTTTTTTCATCCATGTCAATTTGTACGGTTTTTGATACAATTTTATACACGTTTCAACAGCAATAACAACTGTATAGTTTTATTTATCTAATTATATACCTATTGATAACACCGACTGCTATTGTTTCGACGATTGTTAATAACCGTATTTACAGAATATCCTGTAGCGTTTTATTAATGTACACGTATGATGTCTAGTATCGATAATTAAGTAGTTTGAACTCTTAAACAAAAGTAACGACATAAATTACAATGTTTGGGATTAAAGTGACAATATTTAACTATTGTATATTATTATTTTTTATGATTTCTCTTAATCGATTAAACCCATGTGAAAATAATTAAATAATGAAATTACACTAATAACTAAATCGGTCGATACTAACAATAATATTTGCAATTTTAGTAATTCTTAAAAGTCTTAACATTATATTTGTTTTAAATTTTGATAGATATAAATAAAAATAATTTTTACGAAAATAAGAAAAAACCTAATGTAAACGGTTAATATTATGTTACTCCTATTTATAATACTGAATACATTTGTTTTGTTATACAGTGAAACATTTTAAGCACTGACAACAGTACAGGAGTTGAGAAGTTTGTAGACGTCGGCGACGATTGAAATAAAATTGGTTGGTTTCTTAATGAACCAAATTTAAAAAAAATTAAAGATACCATAAGTATTATAAACTTACGGCAATTGAGAAGTGTCCCAGTGGACCCAATGACCTTACCATACTGGTCTGTGGCCGATTTTGTGTCATAATAATCGTATATATAATTTTAATTATTAAGTTAACATGCATAAAAAACGTTTTTCAAAATTATGAGTGCGGTAATGCTTATCCTGGGATTTATTGAATTTTATAATATACATGGAAATGCAACAACCACTACAGGCCTGTACACCCTCTTTTGGTCGGTAAAGTAGAAATTATTACCTCCGTATAACTTATTCAATTTATTTCAAACAAAAATTCCTTTAAGTGTTTATGATACACACATATTATTTCAAAGGATAATAATATTAAGGGGTGACTTTTAAAAGTATAATAGCGACCAATGTACCTACTAAGTTTACCTAAGAAAAACGGAACCATGCAAAGCAAATAATGATTAGTCGATAATTCGTTTTGGATAAATACTTTTGAATTATTACTTATTAGCCACGTAAAAGTATAAATTGGGGTGGGGTAGACTGTATAATGTTATTTGTATATCTTTACCTAAACTTTAAATGCCAATAACTCATGAAGTGTGAATTCTCCTTACTTTGTCAAAGTTGCATTACTACTATTGTAAATATGAACGTAGTATATTTTTTAATAACAATGATCATTCCAAATAACAGCTAAGCCATTGTCCAAGTAAATGAAATTAATTGCAGATGCAGAAAAGGAAGAGCAATATGGAAAAAATTACCAAAAAAAAGAATATACAAAGAGAGCCACACTATACGGGACTCATAAATAATAGTAGGTATTTCAGGTCTCGGATTTTCATACGAGGCAGTGTTAAAACAAACTTCTTGTAAATACCTATTTACATTTTTACATGAGTCAGTTTTGGTCAGTTTAATATGGGGAAAAGGGATGCTAATTATATAGGTACGCGTGTAAAGTGTGTACAGTGTAAAAGTCTTACCTCAGTTACAACCAGTAGCTGCTCAGATATCAGTCGGTTAATAAAAAAGATTTCTGTTATAAAAACTTGGAAAAAAGCGGTTTTAATATATTTCCACCATGTCAATTAATTTGCCGGTTAATTTGCATAAGCTTCGTGGTAATATTTTTAATTTAAATCATTTTGTCTATGAATAAAAGCCATTTTAGTTAATGTAGTAGTACAATTTTTGTCCATCGCACAGGCTGAACCAGTGACCCGATAAGTAATCTAAAAACAGATTTGAATCCGTCATGAAATTTACTTGAAGTATAAAATGTGATATTCAATACAATGTTAAAAAAAAAAAAATTAAACATCCACCGTCAAAGTCAGGATAACCCAAAGCGAAATTTGATAATTATTCAAATTTAACTTTAACCCCCTGTAACTCCGATGGAAAACCCTATGCCGCAATAACCTCAAATCTAAATTTGATTTAACCTACAATTATATCCAGCAGTAGTTTTTTATTGTAAAAAATCAAGGTATTCTAACTTGGAAAAACAAAATTGTTTATCGCCGTAAAAATATATAAACAACTACCATATTTTTATTTGTCAACACATACCTACGTGCATTAGTATTCGAAACGAACAAAAACACAATGGTATGTTACAGTTTTCTATTTATTTTGCAACTTTCTATTTATTTATTTTTCGCAAAATCATAAAGATATTGTATGAACACTATTTGCCGCATTTTTCGTTTACTGCACCGCCACCTTTTTCTATGTTATAATCAAAGTGTTTTTTTAAACCGTATTCTGTATAAACTACAAAGAAAACTCGACTCACCAACTTTAGACAATTCCATTATAAAAGTCATAATCGTTGGCTTTGGTCTTATGAATACTGAAAAATTACAGGCTCAGTGTGTAGTATGAGCTGATGATAGTAACACTGCTGTCCAACTACGTATCAACTATAGAGTATAATTATTTTTGTGGTCGAGGATTTGTTTACATATATTTAATTTCTTTGCTTAATACTGAAAACACTGAATATTTGAATACAGTCGAATTAAACAGTATAATATTATAACAGTTAGTATGATAAACATTAAAATTATTCTTTTGTTCGGTCTGGCAGCTTATGTGGCGTTAGTATTTTCTCAAATTATTATTATGTTTAAAGCGTTTGGAAATATTTCATCAAATCAAGAGTTTTTTGTGTATTCATTTTTATTTTAAACGTTTGATTTTCAGGTGTGGTGATGTACTGCCAGTAGAAGGTAACTGTGTAATATAAGATTTGGTATTAAAAAAAATAACTCGGTAAGCTTTGACCCCGATATAGTGGGCGTCAAAGCAAATTGTTGACGTGAAGATGAAAATATTTTTAGTAATTATTATGACTTAGTTTGGAAATTATAGATGGTAAAAACTATTAAGTATAAATATAAACCATAGACCATATACAGTAAACTATTGCTTTATATGATTATTTTTGGGGTTAAACAATTAAATTGAAAATTGAAAAAATTAAATTGCAGCGTCATGTCGGCAGAGTTTGGTATTATTTAAATAAAAATTGACTATTTATGTAACCATAAATTTAATTAATTAATTTAACTTATGATTAATTTTTACTATCATAATTAATATTTTTTATCATTGTTATATTTATTTTTTTTGTAATACTCGACTGATCAGAATAATATAATAATTTATTATTAACCAAGTACTTTTAGGAGAAACCAAAAAAACACTAGATAATATTGCCTTATTCTAAAATCTGTTATCTCTATTTATATAAAACAAAATCGAATGACAAATTAGGCAAACGCCAAATAATGGTTATAAATGCATAGACTTTAATCCTATTTAATATTTTTAAGTTAAATAGAATCATAAATAATTTTTATAAATTTTTAATCGTGACTGATTTTATTTGTTATTATTAGATTAAAATAATCATGATAAAAAGTCAACTTTATGTATTTAACTTAAAAAGAAATTCCTTACTCTGCATGTCGGTAACTTGCTTTGACAATAATCTACTGAAAGTTTGAACTGGTCGTTGGTGTATATTATAAAGTTGTAAAAAAAATAACTACTACATTTTTTCTAAAAACATTTGGGCTTTGGCAACATTGAACTATATTTAACATTTCTCATAAATCAATTTCCGTGGTTAACCATCAACTAAGTGCCTACCTAACAAATCAATTTGACTATCCTTATTAATATATAGAGTTATATCCTTATATATCCTGCAACTTGATGTATCTGCATGAAGTGTGTAGGTATACTCTTAACTTTATATTTACAAAAACGCATAGGTCCACACTTTTCATTGTTTTTGCGATATTTTCTTAATATTTTATTGTATATCAGTTGCACTATAAAAAAAAATCGTCCCTCGCAATTTGGAACAAATTCAAAAAATTTTTAAAAAGCGTTATTTTAAGTTGAATTTTGTGTATATTTGCAGTGTATTTTTATCGAACTTGAAGAGGTAGTTACATTTTTATTTCATTTTTGGCCATGTTAAGCACCTTTGAGGTACGATTCGTGATCTAAAGATTTGCTACATGAAGAAATCCGAGATAACCGTTGGGTCGAAATGAAAAAAAAAAAAATAAAAATATTAGCATATCATTTTAAATTTAATACCTTCTCAGTCCAGATGGTAAATCGATTTAATATGAGTATGAATCATTTATTTTTACACAGTAGTATATGTGCGAATTACCGTGTTATTTGATTTTTTTGGGATCAAAAAACAAATCGCAACATCATGTTGTTAACTTTTTGTTGAAACTAATCTACAGAACATTTGAACTGGTTAAATGGGAATACTATGTCTTCAAAAAAAAAACCAACTAACAAATAACTATAGTATTATTAAACTGTTAAAATGTATTATAATTGAGTGATGGTATCTGGTTGGTTCAGAAACTACTCGGGATGATGACAGCGAGTCCAGTAACCTAACCGCACCGAACTTTATCGAAGATAAAAATATAGTCGGTAAGCCAAATATACCCATAAATAGAACTAAGGATGGACTCGAGATCTACGGTAGAAATGTTCCAAGAGTTCTGGGATTCGACGGTGTAAAGATCGTTTTCGACCCAAAAGGAGGAATCATAGTGAATGGTGAAAGAAAAGAAGGATTCGAAGATATCAAAGAAAATGGATATATTTTTTTGCCATACTTAGTAGAACTAGCCGGTTTTGGCTGTAGTGAGACAACACAAGGTAATGGAATACAAAATAGTATTATTTTAACAATACAAAAAAAAAATTGACCAGTAAAAAGTGTCTTTTGCAAGGTCGGTCGTCTGTCTATAATAGTAATTTTTAGAAACTTTATAAGAATAAAGGTTTTTCCAGATAACCAATCACAAACATCAACCGATAACGTAAACGATCCAAGAAATATTGTATGTCCAGAAGGTAGTCAAGAAGAAAGTCTATGTGAAAACTTTCAGTCGGCTGGAGTTGGCGGTAGTGGGAAAACACAAGGTAATTAAATAAAAAATAGTATTATAATAATAATAATATAATAAAATAAATTAAACAGTAAAAAGTGTGTTGCAAGGTCGGTTGTATGCCTGTTATAATTTGTTGTCGTTGTTACCTAGTTTTAGTTTTAGTTTTAGTTAGTTAACGGGTGGGCCCATGCACTCAGACCTACAGGTCCATTGTGCACACCCTCTCACCGAAGTCTTGTTTCACATAGTTTGTCATGCCCATGTCCTGCTTAGTTAATAACCTTCTAAGTTGAATAGTCCTGATTCCTTTACAAATCTCAGTAACTCTTTAATCCCAGTATCCTTGATTTCATCCTGTCCAGGAAAAGGTCTACCAAAGATACTTTGCCTTAGGGTAGCAAAGGAGTTACATTCACACATGATGTGGTATGACGTCTCCTCCTCTTCTCCACATTTCCTACACACTGGTGATTCTGTGATCCCCATGGTGTGTAGATGTTTGAGTAGATGCCCGTGGCCTGTTCATAGTCCAACTAGCATGCTCATTTGGTTCCTGTTCATATGTTTAAGATCCTTTAGTAACGTACCAGGAAGCTTGATGAACATCTTTGATTGCCTAGGTACTACTAGGTATCTCCATATTTTCCTATGTTCTTCCCTACTCCAGTTTTTTGGTATTGCTCTCAGTGTTTGCTCTGATAATCCTACCGCTGGTTCGGGACCAATGTAGGGTGATTCGACTCCTTTCCTAGCTAGGAAGTCAGCTTGTTCATTCCCCAGTACACCATAGTGTCCTGGTACCCAAGCTAATTTAACCCTGTTGTTCCTAGCCAATGATTCCAGAGCTGTACGGCATTCTAGGACCAATTTTGAAGTCACTTGAGTTTTGATCAGTGCCTTCAAAGCTGCTTGACTATCACTAAGAATAGTAATGTTTCTCCTCTTATATACTGCCAGGTTTTGAGTACATATTAGGATCGCCATCACTTCTGCCTGGAAGACAGTAGGTGTTGTACCTAGTGGTATGCTGATACTAATGTGTGGTTTCTTGCCCCATACACCAGCACCTACTTTACCCGACATTTTGGATCCGTCTGTATACACTACAAACCCTCCACTCTGTGTCAGGTGGTTTATGTCCCAGTCGTTCCTCAGGGACATTTCAACCTTATATAGACTGCTGTCAAATGTGATTGGTTTGATACGGTCCGAAGGGTAGGCCATTAATTCTCGACTTTTACCTTCTAGTATTTTCCCATGCTCAACTAGTTCACTACTTTTCGTCCAGTCTCCTGAATTATGTAGTCTTAATGCAGTGCCTTTGGCGTGAGCCTTAATCTCCAAGTGAAGTGGAGGTAGGCCCAGTAACGCCTCTAGCGCAACTGTTCTCATCGCTCCAGTGATAGCTAAGCAGGCCATCCTCTGTATGCTACTGAGTTCCTTCCTGGCTGTTACTAGTTTTGTTCTAGGCCACCAGACCAAGGCTCCATACATCACCATAGGTTTTATTACTGACGTGTATAGCCAGTACATTACTATTGGTTTTAATCCCCAAGTTCTTCCAAGGGCCCTACTGCATGTCCACAATGTGACCATTGCTCTTTTGACCCTATCTTGAACTTGAGCTCGCCAGCTTAGTTTTTTGTCCAGGATTACACCTAGGTATTTAACTTCTGGTTTGAAACTTATTTCTTGTCCACTAAGTAAAAGAGTTTTGGTATTATCAACTCCCAATCTTTTTCTTGTGAACATGACTATCTCAGCTTTACTTGGATTTATAGCTAAGCCATATTTGCTGCACCACTTGTGCACCGTGTTTAAAGCTTGTTGAGACAGGTCCATAATGGTGTCTGGAAATTTGCCCGCCACCACTATAGCCAAGTCATCCGCATAAGCTTGAGCATACCATTTCCCGTTCAGCTCACTTATGAGGGAATCCAAGACTAGGCATCATAGTAAAGGAGAAAGGACTCCCCCCTGTGGACACCCACGTCTCACTCTCCTCACTGCTTTTGAGCTGTTCAGTTGTCCTTTAACTAATCGGTCTGTTAGAATGGTCTTCATCCACTTGTTAATGAGTGTTTCAACCCCATGGTCTAGTGCCGATCTACACATTGCATCGAAGGGTGTATTATCAAATGGCCCTTCAATGTCTAGAAACATGCCCATGGCATACATTTTACTTTCTACAGCTCTTCCAATCTTCGTTGTTAGATTGTGTAGAGCTGTATCAGTTGATTTGCCTGTTTGGTATGCATGTTGATTCCTGTGTAGGGGGTATATTTTCAGTGGCCCCTCTTTAATATGCCTATCACTAAGTTTTTCCATAGTCTTTAATAAGAATGATGTAAGACTTATTGGTCGGAACGCTTTCGCTTCATAATAATTAACGCGGTTTGGTTTCGGTATGAATACCACCCTAACCATCCTCCAGCTCTCCGGTTGATATCCGAATGCTAGGCATGCTCTATAAATTCTGCATAAGTGTGGAACTATTATGTCTAGTCCCTCCCGTAGGAGAGCTGGGAATATTTCGTCACTACCTGCAGATTTATACCTTCCAAAGGTCTTAATAGCCCATCTGATACCTCCCGGTGTGATACTTCCTGGATAATTGCCAGTCGGCCCGAGAAACAGAGTTCCTCGATGCCATTTGTTCAATTACTTCAGTGTCTTCAGTTGAACCCGGAAAGTGTGTACTCATAAGGTGAGATAATGTTTCGTCATCACTCCTGGAGTATTCACCGTTGTTAAGTAGAATTCCTTCAACTACTCTGTTTGGTCCATTCCTTAGTGCACGAAGGAGTCTTGTTGCCGTGGGAAGTTCGTGGACATTCCCACAGAATTTTCTCCAGCTCTCCCTTTTTGACCTTTTTATTTGAGATTTGTACTCAAATCTGAGTATGAATCATTTATTTTTACACAGTAGTATACGTGCGAATTACCGTGTTATTTGATTTTTTTGGGATCAAAAAACAAATCGCAACATCATGTTGTTAACTTTTTGTTGAAACTAATGTATAGAACATTTTAACTGGTTAAATGGGAATACTATGTCTTAAAAAAAAACCAACTAACAAATAACTATAGTATTATTAAACTGTTAAAATTTATTATAATTGAGTGATGGTATCTGGTTGGTTCAGAAACTACTCGGGATGATGACAGCGAGTCCAGTAACCTAACCGCACCGAACTTTATCGAAGATAAAAATATAGTCGGTAAGCCAAATATACCCATAAATAGAACTAAGGATGGACTCGAGATCTACGGTAGAAATGTTCCAAGAGTTCTGGGATTCGACGGTGTAAAGATCGTTTTCGACCCAAAAGGAGGAATCATAGTGAATGGTGAAAGAAAAGAAGGATTCGAAGATATCAAAGAAAATGGATATATTTTTTTGCCATACTTAGTAGAACTAGCTGGTTTTGGCTGTAGTGAGACAACACAAGGTAATGGAATACAAAATAGTATTATTTTAACAATACAAAAAAAAAATTGACCAGTAAAAAGTGTCTTTTGCAAGGTCGGTCGTCTGTCTATAATAGTAATTTTTAGAAACTTTATAAGAATAAAGGTTTTTCCAGATAACCAATCACAAACATCAACCGATAACGTAAACGATCCAAGAAATATTGTATGTCCAGAAGGTAGTCAAGAAGAAAGTCTATGTGAAAACTTTCAGTCAGCTGGAGTTGGCGGTAATGGGAAAACACAAGGTAATTAAATAAAAAATAGTATTATAATAATAATAATAATAATAATAAAATAAATTAAACAGTAAAAAGTGTGTTGCAAGGTCGGTTGTATGCCTGTTATAATTTGTTGTCGTCGTTACCTATATATCGCAATTAAAAATAAAATGAAAATATTTTTCTTATATTTATTGCTTGTTAATTCAGTCACACATACAACCTGGACATTTAATACGGGGCGGTTGTTATCTTTTTTTATTTTTTGAGTTTTTCTTAATATAAAAAAACTGCAGCTTTTTAATAAAATTTTTCATGGTATAGCGCCATTGTTGATCGACTTTCAGTCTAATGTTTTGTCCTTAAGTGCCATAACCATGCTCGAAAAAGTGAACAATGATCTCACTCTTATATGGTAGAAGTGTTTATATTAGGAATGGCAAATAATCATAGTTGGAGAAAGAATTATTCCTGTGAAGGTCCTCTCACAGACTTTGGTCGTGGTGTATTGCCTGTTAACTCACCTGGACATTTAGTACGGCACGATTTTTATTTTGTTCTTTTTTTGAGAGTTTTCCTTCACTTAAAAAAACTGCAGCTTTTTGGTAAAATAGTTTTTTAAAATAGTAGATCAACTTTTAGTTTGATTCGTTAATTAATTTGACTTTTTCTCAAATATTTACAGTTGAAGAAGGAATTATTCCTGTGAAGGATCCTGTCGTAGACATGCCCGGCGATAACACGATCGACGGTATAAAAACTGGTCCAACAGTAGAAAAGTGAAAAAAAAAGATTAAAATAAAAAACATAAAATAATAATAAATTGTTGTTCATACTTCTCATTAATAAAAATACATTTGTTCTGCCCATTTAAAAAAATAAAGTAACGCCTCTGTCTGTATAATATATTGTTTTTATTATTTTTTTCTGACGCCCTTAATCGGTTATTAGAAGCATTGCTAAATCCACTATTATAGAATATGATTTGGAAGTATTTCCAATAGGACCGCCAAATTAAATACATCAGGTGACAAACAATTGTATGTAACTAGCGCTGAAACATTTTTAACTTACACCATTGTACGAAAACTTGAGTAATTATAGATATCTAACGAATTAAAATGATCAACGGTCTCATTCGCACTTCTTTCTACGTCTAAGATGTATATGTTCGTATTGTCAAAGGTCGTTCTGACCTTTGTCAAAGGTAACTGTAATATAAATACCTCAGCACCGTATCGAAGCTAAAAAAAATAAATAAAACAGCAGATGGGAAATTTCGTATAATGAGTTATAATAAATAAAATTAAGTACACTTATTCAAACCTTAAAATATAACTGGTCTTAATATACTATTACACCGCAAAGACTTTAATAGCTACAGACTAATAATTATAGTGAATTTGGTAATTTTGGAACTTTAAAAACTAACTAAACAAAATAGAAATCGGTTAACATCAAATTTGTTTATCTGATTTTAATTTTCAGGTGTATTATTTGTGTGGAACTTTTTCAGCTAGTTTTTCATGATGAAATAAAATATCGAATGTAATTATTATCAATGGTTAGGTAATTAGTGTCTTTACCCATATATAAAAAACAACATAAATTTTATTGTTAAAAAAAAAAAAAAAAACATTTAATAAATATTAATTCTAAGTATTTATGCGATTATATTATCAACATTTCTGTAATAGTGATAGTGATAGTGTCCGATGGGTAGTGTCTAATAATAACTAACAGAATCTTAAAAAAATATATGAAACATTAGTTGAACAAAAATTAACGAGTACCTAAAAAATTAACCATCGCGCGATTGTGTAATATTATATAAGTGTTTGAGTAGGTATTGTAAACAATTTAATATCAATTTATAGGAATTAAATTCACTATTTTCACGCCTATATATATATATATATATATTATATAATAATTAATATAATAAAATACTATTATTAAACACACGCGATATTAGTTAAATTTAATATTTCAATCGTGGTTTCTATATTTATTGCAGTAATTCATCTGCATCTACAATAATTTTTGTAAGCTATTGTTTTTTTTTTTTTTTAATTATTCAATTTAGATAAATTAACATGTTTGAACCTTACCAGCTCGTATGTACTACTCTTATATATATACTACTACACTGGAATATTATTAAATTAATAACAGCTGTATTACAATTCGTAACTATACATATTAGGTTTCGATATAATATAATTACTATATTTTTTTTCTAACACCTACTTATATAATATGAAAAAAGTACAATCACGTTTATTAAAGACGTTACACTTAAACCTAAAGGAAACAAATACAATTTATTCATTTTTGAGACTCATTCCTATATAAAAAAAAAAATCAAAACGCTTTTCGGTGATTACACGATATTTATATAGTTTTAAAAATAATTATATAATTTCAGAAAACACCGATTGAAATTAAAATTAACTTTTTGCAGCACAGAGTACATTTTCTTTTTAAGAATCTAAAAGAGATGTAAGTATTTATTGGTGACAAGTTAAATTGATAATTATTATTTAACAAGTGATCAAGTAAAAACATTTTTGAAACATTCAACTGTTGCAAGATCGTAGAAACTTGTATTTAAAAAAAATATCGTTTTGTAAATTGTGAATAAATTATTTTTTTTTTCTTATTAACTGCTTTTGCAATTACACATAATGAAATGTTTAAATTCAATCGGTTATTTTGGTTAGACAATTATCATCTAATATAACGGTTAATTATTGCTATATTTTACAACTGTCTTTTAAGTACATGTAAATTTCGATACAGTTAAAAAAATAGAGTCAATGTGTTGTGCATAATACATAATTTGCTCGGATTACCTTTATTTCTTAAACGTTTAAGTGGCCAAAAATACATTTTTGTCAACTATGACTTATAACAAACTTCATCTAATTTACTTGGCAGTGTTGTTGATAACCATAATTATTAATTATTATACTGTCAATTATTTTTGAAAATTGTTTGTATGAAGAGTACAACTTTTATAAAGATCAATGTTTATTTCCAAATTAAATCTATTCACAAATTAGAAGAGTTCTTATACTTTTTTTTTTTAATTTGTTTTGAAAATACTATAATATTTTTCAACAGATTTACATTTATCTAATAAGGTGTATTGTTTTAATAAAGAAGATATGAAAAAAAGGTTATTTAAAATGACACGAACACTTATATACTAAAATAATTTAATATAAATAGACAATAATTAAAATTCTAATTTGGTAAGCCACAAGTGTGTAATATAATTGAAGGGATGAGTGGAAAAAGGTGTTAAGTGACATTTTTTGTAAAATAGCTTTTATATAATGAATATAAGTGATATTATAACATATGAATCATTATCTTTGGAAATTAACAGTTGATGAGGGTGTTATCAAAATATTATTATTACTTAGTAAATGGATTCGTTGACTAAAATATTGCCTCCTGAGAAGTTTTGAAATTGTCAGTTAACACCATTATCCACTCATCCCTTTAATTATTACGATTAAATCCTTCGGTATTTGGTCGAAAGAAGTTGAGTCAGATTTTCCAAAAATTTAATTTTAAATCATTTTGATCCGGCCGGTCAAGTACAATACTTATAAATATTGCATTTTTGTAATTCATTTTTAATGTCCCAATCACCATAACAATAAAAATATTAATAATAAATGTATGAACATTCAAATATTTTCCCGGAATTTTATGGTAATTGACTTGAGATTTTTTGACCCAATACCGAAATCATTTTTTTACACAATAATAATAACGATACTCAAAATTTCTAATGACCAGAAGCTCAGATCTGTATTATAATACAATATAGAATAAATACATATTATGTTAATATATTTTACATAATACTTATAAGCTATAATATTATATGTTAATAAATTAATTGTACCTATCGTATCGATTGACCGCAACAGCGTGGAAGTTCGTATACTATAGTGATAAATCATAATCTCCTTCTAGATGGTTTATACCACTGTTATAACCGTACAACCGGTACTTGGTTCACGCTGGTATAATCTATTATACTATTTTATAATCTATGGCTCCTATACACTACATGCTACTTATGGCCGTTTTCGCCTGTTTGTTTAATAAATTAAAATGATTAAGGTCTAAAAATGTAACGTCAACTACTTATTTTAATGTTAAACTAAAATGACGAGAACGGCCATATTTTTCTACAGATCTACCATATGTACTAATGTACATTGTAAAATACAATATATTTTTTTAATATATTGTAGCTTATCAAATTTCATTGATCGATCACCACAATGGCAACACCGCTGTTATGTATCGTAGTCCGTCTATTAATTAATTAATAATAATAATATGGTAAGTGTTGTTACGGTTTGGCGAATATTATACGATTTTTAACTCATTGTGTGTTATTATTGTAATTAGCATTTAATAAGACACGTTGTCTCTGATGTAGGCTTTCTTTCTGTGCTCGTGCCGATGGCATTTGCCCCACCATGTTTTTTTCGTGCAAACCCGCACACGTTTAAGTACAAAGCATTTGGTCTGCACCACGTTGAAGAAAAGCTTGCCAATGAGATTCGCCGATCCGGTGCCGATGGATTTCAAACAAGACCGGAACCTAAAACAATAATAAACAAAAATATATAGCTAGTTATTATTTGTAAATACAATAAAAAAATTTTAAAAAAACTTTTCAAGTTAAAGTTTAATAGTTCAAGTTTACAAAATACTACACAAATAAGCATAACTTGATTTGTTAAGTGTAAAAGACAAGTTTCGGTGTGTTGATTTATTTCATTTCCGGTCTACATGTTATCCCATAACACTGTACCTATAACAAAAGTTATCGAAAATAATGGAAAAAATACTTTATAAAAAAAAAGAGAAAGATCGGTTTTTGCACATCGGTAAAAACTCGCGAATTATAGGTAGTTTTTTGGTTTTAACTTTTGGTTTAATTAATGTTGACTTGTTTGTCAATTTTTAGCTGTTAGTAATAAGAACTATTAGAAATAATTGAAAATAATTTTAAGCCCTCTCCTTATCTATTGTAAATGAAAATTATTATTAACTGCAACAGCTTTGCGCCATACTTTTAGAAATTAGATAGGTATACCACAATGATAATTATAAATTATCGATTAGAAATAATGTAACAAATTACTCCTTAAATGGTCTGTAGAAGAAACATTTTTAAAACTTTTCGAATAAGCTCGAGAAAACCGAGATAGCCGCGAATTGTTTTTCCTTATCTTAGCACTTTCAGGTGTTGACTATTTATATATATATATTTTTTTTTGTAGGGGTTAAATTAATTGAAATCAAATTACTTCTGATGACCTATTAGACCTCGATGGGTTTGTTTTTAGTTTTGAAAATTCGCTCTAAACTTGTCTGCAAATCTTGTGAACGTTTAAATACATGGTGTTCAGACCCAGGAATTTTGTATTATAAAATAAATTAGACATAGTAGACATAAAGTTTTGGGCAGAGCAATTGATATATAATTTTGCTAAATTATTGAGATATTGCTTTGAAATATAATCAAAAATGTTTAACCAAAATCTGCAAAATACAACTTTTTAATGTTGGTTCTTTAATGTTTAGTTCAGACGATTTTATACATTGAAATTCCAAAAAAAACCACAATTATTTAACATTTCACCGAATCAAATGTTTATTTATTCACACTAATTTTCTTTGAAAAAGCAAATTCCTCATGTTACAGCCATTTATTGTAAGTAAAAAATGTGACATTCAATACAATGTTAAAAAAAAAATCAATCCTTCACCATCAAAATCAGAAAAACCCAAAACAGAATTTGATAATTATTCAAATTTATTTA